ATGCCCTTACTAAGACGCCTCGTTTGGACGGCAGCCAAAAAGCAATTCATTATGACTGCTAGACATGTTCCAGGTTGCAAAAATCAAATTGCTGATTCTCTCTCTCGCTTTCTTTTTCAGAAATTTCGGCTCTTGGTACCGGAAGCAGATCAGCATCCAACACCTGTTCCACTCTATTCACAAATGATATTGCCATAAACCACCCATTACATCGCCTCCATGAAACTTCCATATCCCTGATCCTTCACGCTGTCGCACCAAGGACCCTTCAGTCATATCTCACAGCATGGAAATCTTATAAATATTTCCACACCCTGTACCAAATACAGTTCCCAGATTTTTCATTGCTTACCATCACCTCATTTATTTCCCACCTCCATACAGCCAAAAATATCCAGGCAAGCTCCATAAAAAGCTACCTTAGTGGGGTCCAATTTTTTAATAAATTGATTTACGGGGCCACCTCAGAAGCCATTTCTAACGCTCAAACTTCCCTCCTTATTAAAGGTATCCAGAAATCACACCCCCCCTTCCCGACACTAGACTACCCATTTCGCTCAATATTTTAGCAAAGTGCATACGCACACTACGTAGAGGATACCTCTCACTCCACACAGCCTGTACACTAGACGCGATGTTTACCCTGGCTTTTTTGGCTTCCTGAGGTGTTCAGAAATGGCTATCACATCCAATTTCAACCCCGCAATACACCCCACTATATCTGATCTAACACTGCTGAATGCTGAAACTCTCGCCTTTTTCATTAAACAATGCAAAACAGATCAGACAGGCAAAGGGCATTTTATTTACATATTTAACATTTTTTCCCCCGCACAGCCATTCCAAACTCTCCTAGCTTTTCTCCATTAAAGGAGATCAAAGGAGTCCGACCCACATGCCCCACTTTTTACTGATGACGCTTACCGTCCAGTAACCCGTTTTTGGTTTCAAAAACATCTGAAAGAAGTCTTTCGCCTTTCGGGCGTTTCCCCCGAATTGTATTTCAGCCATTCATTTAGAATTAGCGCAGCCACCACAGCAGCTCACAAAGGTCTATCCTCACACCAAATCCAGACCCTAGGCTGCTGGTCCTCCGATGCCTTCAAAGCTTACATTCGCCTCAGCCGATCCCACCTCAAGACAGCCCAGCCAGCCCTAACCAGCTAAATTCCAAACTCCAACTAGGGGTACGAGCTCGACCCTAAGTAGGCAGGAGTGCGTGTGTGTGTGTGTGCTTGTGTATGGGTGTGCATGGGAATGTGTGTGATTGCTCGCGCAGATACAGTGTGCGGTTGCACACGTATACATGCTTATTTGCACGTTGATATGTATATAGGTGTGGGCGTACGTTTAGGTATGCATATGCACGTGCAAGCGAATGAGTATGTGAGCCTATGGGCATTACATGTTGTGCAGGTTGCATGTATGCTCTTAACTTTTTTTTCAAACCTGCTATGCTCCTTCCCTCACCATGCTCTGACCCCTGCAGGGGTCCAATCTGAGCTTCGACTCTCGCGAGTCACCCCTAGCCCATCCCCGGCCACCCCTTCACTACCACCTCCAGTAAGAGCCTGCACTACCCCCCTTCCTCTTCCTGACTCTTACTGCCCCCCCCCCATAGCTCTGACCCCCGCAGGGGTCGCTCTGAGCTTCGACTCTCGCAAGAGTCACCATTTGCGCCCCCCCCCCCCCCCCCCCCCCCAGGCCATTAGAAATGGTATGTACGCGTATGTTATGCGCATACATCCGATGTATACCTGTTCCGATGCGTGTGCATGCATATGCCGAAACAGGATTAGACGCACGTGCATGCTCACGCACGCAGGTTATCCCCTCTCTCCTTTTCTTCCTTTGGCGTCGAGTTCCTCCACCCGCTCTTTTCTTCCTTTCTTATAGGCCATCAATCCTCAGCTCTAACTCCTGCAGGAGTGACTAAAACGAGCTTCGACTCTTGCAAGAGTCCCGCCCCGGCCACCTCCTGCTGCAGTCTCCACCGCCCCCTCCCTTTCCCAGACTTCCGCAGGAGAAATGCCCACAGCAGCTCTGACCCCCGCAGGAGTCGCTCCGAGCTTCAACTCTCGCAAGAGTCAATCACCGCCCATGCCCAGCCCTTACCATATAATAACTATACATGTTCATATATATATATATATTTATATATGCATATATACTCTTATATTCTCCTTTTCTTCTTTCTGGCGTTGAGATTCTCCGCCTGGCAATTATCTGCCCCTTCTTTCTTCCTTACAGCATGAGTGCTTCTGCTACCTTTACCCTTCTCTGATCTCCCCCCTTATCTCCTTACCCTTCTATTTCCTCAATTTCTTTTTCAGCGTTGAGTTCTCCGCTAACTGTTTTTCTTTTAGCGTCGCTCTTTCGCTATGTTCTTCCTTTCGCTTAGGCCCTCAATCCTCAGCTCTAGCTCCCGCAGGAGCGACTAAAACGAGCTTCAAATCCCGCAGGAGTTCAGGCCCTGGCCACCTCCCATCCTCTCATGCAGGAGTCTTCACCGCCCAAACCTTCACGACTCTTGCTTGAGCAATCTAACCCCAGCTCCCACCCCCGCAGGGGTGTATATATTTGAGCCTTGACTCCCGCGGAGTCAATCCAGCCCTGCCCTCACCCCGACTAGGCTCTAGCAGTCTACTTTGCTCTGCTCCCGCAGGAGCTTCTCTTCCTAAGCTATCAACGCTATATCCAGCAGCCAGATATGGCTTTGTTACACCTGCTTTTTGGGGGGCTCTTCAATACGCGGCTGCTGTCCCGAGCTATACAAAGGCATTTTGGGGAGTTCTTGAGATCTACCTGAGCTCAAACTCCCCTCCCGCCTTGCAACGGGAGGGAGCCCTGGGCTCGAGGATCTCATGAGCTCAGGGCTCTCTCCCGGGACAGCATGCCAAACAAGCTTTTACAATTAATCATCAGCTAAGTGTGAACTCTTGAAGTGAAGTTTATGTATAAACAAATTTCGAGAGGATCACATGCTTTTGATTACTAGCAGCTGACCCGCATTATCTAATTCACTACGGTCCAATCAGATGACTCCTAAACTACTATAAATACCCTGGGGTTTATTCCATTGCTATCTTCGTTTTGAAGAGTCCCCCCTTCCTCCCCTACTCCTCCTTCTTAGACGGGTGACACGGTGGCCCAGTGCCTAGCACTGTCGCCTCACAGCAAGAACGTCTCTGGTTCCTGGCTTTACCAAAACTAGCAGACAGTTCTGTGTGGAGTTTGCACTTCTCCCCGTGCTCGTGTGGGTTTCCCCCGGGTTCCCCGGTTTCCTCCTACCGCCTAAAAACATGCAATTAAGTCAATTGAACAATCCAAATTGTCAACATAGACACGCTTCTAGTTAGTAATTAATTTCAAGAGCATTCACTTGCTACAGCAGGGGAGTTCTCAAGATCTACCTGAGCTCAAACTTCCCTCTCGCCTTGCAACGGGAGGGAGCCCTGGGCTCGAGGATCTCATGAGCTCAGGGCTCTCTCCCGGGACAGCATGCCAAACAAGCTTTTACAATTAATCATCAGCTAAGTGTGAACTCTTGAAATACACATATGTTTGTCCAAACAGCTTGAAAAGTAGATTTTTCTCCATAGGTGCCCTTTAAGTTTAAAAGCTATGGCCTGTAAGCAGTGCTTAATTTGTGAATCGCGAGATCCCGGAACAGATCAGGGTAACGGATCCGGCATGCTACCTGAGGATAGGTGTTGTGCTCAAAAGTGGAGAACAGGGGCATAGCGGGGTGTTGGTAAGCGGAGGGGTGTCACGGACATAAGTTAAGAGCTGGGGCAGAGGTTGTTTGTCGTGGCAAAAATAAAGAGGATTGGGGAGTTGCAGAAGAAAGTGAAAGTGAACAGCGGATGAGGGAGAAGGGCGGATCAGTAAAATTAGGTGCCGGATGAGATTTCAGAGGTGCCAGTTCTGGATCTGGCCTGTTCTGGCAAAAATTAAGCCCTGCCTGTAAGACTATAATAATATATATTTTTTCTATTTGTTTTTCAGTTCATATAAGGTTTGTCATACATATCTGACCCAAGATTACAAATTAGATCTGACTTAACCACTTCGGACCTTGTATCCATTACAATAGACATCACATGTCAGCCCATGTTTTTTGTGGTTCCTGATAGGAATGTCCAGATCCCATTACATGATCAGAAATCAGGTGTGATCACACGGTTTCAGACTCGATCGGAATCGGCCATGTAAAGTTGTCCGAAATAAATATATTTAAAGGGTGTTGAATTTTTATAAATTCAACTCAAGGACTGTGAAAATATACTTTTTCTTTTTCAGAAATTTGGAACATAATTTAGGTCTGACGTGATTAATAATATTTAAAATATTTACTATTGTGACATTTTCAGTTGATGTATCTTTTGTTGAATTAATGTGTGTACTCACTGTTGAAGCAGATGAACTCACGGGTGTTAATACATTGCTCTGTAATCCATTGTCCATTATACATAACAATACACTGACTACTGTAGACTAGTTCTACAGATGTCCAGTTCAGAAAGAGCACAGGATCACCTGAAGACCAATGCCATTTATAAACACCCGTCTTCTGAAGACCAATCCAGATATTTTGATTGTGTACATAATTCAAACTCTTGTTCAGCTGGATCATGTCATTCATGTTGTCAACAGTGGCCAGATCTGTGTATTTCTCTCTGCAGTATCTCTGAGCTTCAGTCCAGTTCTTCATCTCATTTATAAAGTGATACTGACGCTGAACACATTCAGATGTGGAGCAGAGAGCTGTGAAAGAGACTTGTGATTTTCAGAACAGTCAAACCTAATGAAACTATAAACCATAAATAAAACTACAAACACACTCACCCATGAGAAGAAGTGGGAAATATAGAGTTTGAGCCATTTCTGTAACGAAGCATATTGAAATTATTTTAGCTTCATAACACGATTCATATTAATTAGTGTTATTATATCTGAAGTGTATTTGTGTGTAATGTGAGTATATGAGTAGTTCGTACCTCAGAGCTGGTGTGTTTCTGTCCTCAGTCTGATCTTTGTATCTACAGCTTCATACTATGTGATAATATCTGCTCTCATCCGTCATTCAGCACGTCACATTATTTGTTTATTACTCTAAATAAAGACTTTTTTCGTTTTTCTTCCTCATTCATATGTTTTTGCATATGTCCCTCTGTGTGATTCTGTACTTCTTGGGAAGTGTATTCATTTAAATATGGTAGAGAGTTGAGTCTGTATTTTTCAAAATTCATATTTCCATAACGCCTTCACAGGGAAAATCCAACTCAACATTTGCATCTGTTTTTATTTACTTTCAAGAGTTCACATTTAGCTGATGATTGAAAATAAAAGCTTGTTTGGCATGCTGTCCCGGAAGAGAGCCCTGAGCTTGTGAGATCCTTGAGCCCTGGGCTCCCTCCTGTTTGCAGGGTGAGGTGGGAGTTTGAGCTCAGGTAGATCTCGATAAACTCACCCCGGCTTTTTACTGGCTAATGACAGATATGGTGGGCTGAGGAGAGGTGTACTCGCTAAGAGTATGGCTATGGATTCCATCTGGAAAAGAGGGAGAGTAGGGGGGATTCTTCAAGACGAAGATATTGAGATAAGAAAACTCTGGTTATTTATAGTGAGTTATGAATCATCTGACTGGAGAATTAATCATGAGCTAGCTGATGCGGGAACAGCTAAGTACAATCACAACGATGGGATCCTCTCGAAATTTAATTTATAAATAAACTTCACTTCTGTGTTCTATCCTCTTCAGTAATGCAGTGACTGACAGCATCAAATCTGATTATTTGTAATTAAAAATTAATGTGTTTGTCCAGTTTCCTGAGGTGCTCTTCTGTTATGCTGTTGTGGAAAACCTGCACAAATTTATATTTTAGATTAGATTAGATTAGATTCAACTTTATTGTCATTACACATGTACAAGTACAATGCAATAAAATGCAGTTTAGGTCTAACCAGCAGTGCAATAGCAGCAAGTGCAGGATACAGGAATAAGTTATAAAGTGCAGTTATAGAAAACTATGGTGATATTTACAGATGGATGTACTATGAACATTATATACAGGTTGGATAAGCTATGAACAGATTTACAATATATGAATATATGTACAGGTTGCTATTAATAATCAGTAGTGTGCAGATAGATAAACATGATTACAAGTGTATATGTTACAATATATGAATATATGTACAGGGATAGATAAACATGATTACAAGTGTATATGTTACAATATATGAATATATGTACAGGTTGCTATTAATAATCAGTAGTATGCAGATAAATAAGCATGATTACAAGTGTATATGTATAGTGGGTGTGTACATAATTACAAATGCCCGTATGCAGTGGGTATGCACAGTTCAATAAGTAAACAGTTCAATGTGGTGCAGTGAATGTGCAAATTTTAAATGCGCAAATGTTAAACAGTGCAGTTATTGCGAGGAGTTTAAGTTAGAGGAGAGTGGGGGGTGTATTGGGGGGCAAAAGAGTCAGTGGGGGGCAGAGTTCAGGAGGGAGACAGCTCTGGGGAAAAAGCTGTTCCTCAGTCTGCTGGTTTTTGTCCGGGGGAGTCTGAAGCACCTGCCGGAGGGCAGGAGAGAAAACAGTCTGTGAGCGGGGTGAAAGGTGTCCTTCAGAATACTGCGTGCTCGGCGCAGACAGTGTTTCTTCTGGATGTCCTCTATGGCTGGCAGTGTGGTTCCTGTGATGCGTTGGGCACTTTTCACCACCCGCTGCAGTGCCTTACGCTCAGCAACAGAGCAGCTTCCATACCAGACTGTGACACAGTTTGTCAGAATGCTCTCTATTGTGCAGCGGTAGAAGTTCACCAAGACGGCTGATGAAAGCTGGTTCTTCTTCAGTTGCCACTGATATATTTGACACTGGCGCTGTTTAATTTGAGTCATTTTAACACTTTACAGTCTTTACAGGAGAGGATTTGTGAAAGGATGTGAAGCAGAAGCACACAGCTGAACTGATGAGAAACCAAAGTTGAACACATTGATCGCTGAGATTCATCACATTGGCTACTGGTTGCCAACAGAAAACTCATAGCTCAAGGAAAGAAGGAAAACCATTAACCTTTTACAACGTTAATAAAATAAACACAACAAACATGTAACGACAGCCTAATCTCAAACTGAGAGCAACTCACTAATGAGGAGAAGAGTGTAATTTAGAAATGTGTCTGTTTTTGAGAAAGAAACACACTGAACAACTCTTTAAATAAAACAGGATCACAACACAATTTACAATAGGATATATGCCGAAGCATGCTAACAGGACTTTTAATTTGCCACTAACCTGGGTTAACCGCTTCTGGTGAACTGAATGCCAATGCAAAATCGGCGCGTTTGAGGTCTGTTTTCTTTGAAAATCAGTGATCTTCACTGGCTGAGTGATATCAGATATAAAGTGGGTCTCAGATTGTACAAGAAGCACTGCATTACATTACATTTCCCCCGTCATGTCTTTATAATTCGAGCACTTATATTACCCCAGTATATTCGATAGAGCTTCTGCGCTAACCTGCCGATTCTGACAGGCGCGTGCGTGTAAACGGCTTTTTGTGTCATTTTATGCTTGAGCAACTGAATATATGCTAAAGTCTATTTAACTGATTGTTTTTTAATTACATTACAACATCGATGCTGTAACAGGAACCATATAAAAAGGGAAAAAACCCACAATAAAAGGTCACTGGAAGTTTATCAGTATGGGAAACACACTAGCTCGGCATATACCCTATCATCAAGACAGCATTGGTTTAAGACTTTAAATGTAAATAGTTCATAATAGGGCTGAGCAATACTGCAAAATTTGGTATCATTACGATACCAAGTAAATAAAGGGCTACCGATACTGATACTTTTACTTTTAAAAGCATGCACTTAAGCCTAAATGAACTTTTCTGTAAGGAGAACAGCGTATTAAATGTATTTGTTAAAACCCAGGACAAATTATAAACACTTTTAAGCCTTTTTAAACACAAACTTATTGCTAGAGAATGATGCATTTTTTTAAACTTTCCTTCAGTCTGGTGATTTTGTTCAGAAACATTGATATAATAATAACAAATCCATTTCTCTTTTAGCACTTCTTCATTGTCTTTAAACAAATAAATTTAAAACATGCATTTCAAATACCTTTTAATAAACAAAGACTACAAAATTAATACTGGCAAACAAATGTTAAAAAAAAAAAGTTTTTTGTTCACTGTTTTGTTCAAAATAACAAAAAGTGTTTCTCTTTCATTAGACACTAAACATTGCCTTATTTTACAAACAAGGTGCAAACAGTTGCTTGTATATAATGAGGGATATTCAGACATTTTCATATTTTTGGTTTATGATATACAGTGGTGGCAAGCCTGTATACCAACACCTGTATTCTCACCAGCTAAAAAGTTTTTTAAGTGTTTTTTATTATTATTTCCTACAAACACTGTAAGGGTCTATCTATTAGTCCTATGACGGAACTAACAGCATGGGTGAACGTTAAATGCGTATAAGCCTTTTAGCACATATAAAAATAAATATTGATATTCGTTATAATTTTTTTAAAATTTGTTTCCAGCTTAATTGTAAAATTAAAGTAACAAGAGGTAGAAGGAGAGACACAGGGGGAGGGAGAGAGAGACTCAACTCACTTTATTTCTTTATTTCAATTCACCTTATTCTTCGCCGACGAGTGGGGGCAGCCATTTATCTTTTTGGCTCGAGACTTTCGGTCTCATTCACTTTTAAATTTAATGCATTAAAAACTGCTATTTTCGCTGTTTGATGTTACAAACTGATATTTTCTTATTATATTATTCTACTTGGTCTGTATAGTCATGCAAACATTTGTTTGTAGAGCAAGTAGTTTGACCGTTTTCTGCCGTTTATTATTCTTAGTCATTTCTCCCATAGGCGACTGAATCATTTTAGAATAAGGTCAATAGCACTTTCACAAACCACAATGATTACCAAAGTGCTGTGCGTAAAACACATAAAACGCATGTAAAAATACATAAAACCAAAATACATAAACTCAAATCACATGATTAAAAGCTAAAGAAAATAAGTGTGTTTTCAGTGACCTTGAAAAGACTCAAAAGTTTTAGCTGTTCTTAAAGAGAGTGGGAGATCGTTCCAAAGTTTTGAAGCTGCTACCGAGAAAGCTCTATCACCTCGACATTTTAAGCGTTAACCCTAACCCTAACTTGCAAATAGAGATGATCCATAGAGCGAAGAGATCTCACGGGTTGGTGCATAATAATTAGCTCAGAAATAAACTCAGGGGCTAGGCCATAGAGGGATTTATAAACATACAACAGAACTTTCAATCCAGAAATTCTAAACTGGATTGGCAGCCAGTGTAGAGAAACAAGTACAGGTATAGCGTGTTCTCGTTTTTTTGTGCCTGTTAAGAGCCTAGCACAGGGGTCGGGAACCTTTTTTCAGCAAATTCATTTTTTTAAAGAGCCACGTGACATATATATATATATATACATATATATATATATATATATATATATATATATATATATATATATATATATATATAATTAAAACATACATCTGAAAGACCTGGATGTCTGATTAGGAGTTCAGAAAAGACTGAAAAAGGTTATTAGAGCTTACGATACAATAATCCTTCAACAAGAAGACAATGGAAACTGGCTTGTGTTTTAATTTGGTTTACCTTTCCTCATTTGTTTTGCTGTTGCTGTCAGTGGACATCGGGGAACAACAATGTGCTTCTGTGTCAAACCCTACAACAGATATTTGGTTAGATATATTATTGACTTTGTATTTAGGTAATCCTTAAAAATTGGGTTCAAACTGAATAGGATCCTTTATCTGTTTTATTTTCTTATTCAAACATGTCTGGTCATGGGGGACTGTAAAACAGATTAAAGCTGCGGTCACACTTGACTTTTCTCCCCATAGACTTCTATTCATACGCATGCAAATGCATCAGACCGAAAACCCAGAGTCATGCGTTAAGTTTTGCAGTTCGCTGCGGTGCAAAGTTCAAGCTAGTGTGACCGCAGCTTTACACCTGTGACTGTAGTCAACACTGCATTTATCACTGTCCCGTGGTGTATTTGTACTTTGTTCTGTTCTCTGTGTATTCCCTGTGCCACACCCTTGTTTGTTACCATGGATTTTGATTGTCTCCACCCCTTGTTATCTTTTAGCTCATTGTTCTCTCTGTATGCAAGTCCCTTTGTTTTGAAATTCCATAATACTGTTTCCTGTTTTATTTTTTCTAAGGTCCTTTTACTTTTGTTTGTTTCATTGTAGACTCTCTTGTTTCTCTAATTGTTGCTCTACAGTCAAAATATGTGCTACTCTGTTAACTAGTGGTGGGCAAAGCGATGCTTCATCAAACACTGAAACAGTCGAAGCAATTGTGTAGAACTTTAAAACATTCCGAAACTTGTCTTTACAGTGACACATAGTGGTCATTTTTGAAATATATTGCTCTGGAACAGCTTCAGCAAAGAATTAGTTTAGCAAATTGAGGAATTATACCCCACGTTGTAGAGTTAAGGTTTCAAGTAATTTAGTGAGAGTTGCTAACTAGCATGCCGAGAGATGGGTTTGAATCCAGGGTCATGCAGCTATAGATATTAGTTTTTAAATGCTCTGATCTTGTAACGTATCTTGTTTTACTATTGGTCTGACATGCGAATCAACATTTTGTGATTAAATATGTCTTGCTTTGGTCATAAAGAGAGTTTTTTTTCTGACCCTGTCAGTCAAAGGCAGATTCGCCAGGTCTTCAATGTCAGGTTTAGACAGAGTACACAGACAGATAATGCTCAAACTAATCGTTTATTTAGTAAAGAACAAAGGCAGCTGCCATTTGCCGACCACCAGCGGGAACGCAGACTGGATAAAGGCAAAAGAAATTCCTCACTCGGGTCCTTTGGTGAGGAGAGCGGTTGAAGGGGCAGTATGAGGAGATAACCCCTGCAGCAGAGCGAGTGTTGAAGCGAGACACTGCTCGCTGCAGAGCCATTTGAGCAGAGCTGAGCTCCAGTGAGGGGGAGCATGAGCTCTCGCTCCTCCTCCTATAAGCTGTTTTAATGCGTACACCAACTCCACCCCTAACCCTACCCCCAGTGACATCACTCGTAGAAGAATTGCAAGAAAGGAGGAGCAATAGCTCAAGCTCCCCCTCACTGGAGCTCAGCTCTTCCCAAATGGCTCTGCAGTGAGCATCACTTGGCTGAAGCTGGTGAGCGCAGAGGTGGAGGCTGGATTCAACAGCGTGGTGAATGCACAGATCACGTCTAAGCAATCATGTTAAGTTAAAATTATTGTGCTAGACTGGACTGGACCAGACAAAATTCACTCAATGCAATAAGGAATACCATAGCGTCCGTAAGCTTTAATAAACACAATAACCTGGCAGAGAATTAAAGGGGAGAATCAGAAGTAAATAGCAACAGGTGAGTAAAGTATGTGCGTCAGCCCTAATTGTATGAGGCAACAGCTGAAACACAACAGATTGAGACATAGACACTCAGATCAAACCTGACCCATGACATTTCAATGCTTCTGAAATGACAAATACTTAGAATCGCTCCAGTCACATGACCTGGTGTTTTGAAACATTTTAGTCAAGTGACCTAGGTGTTTCAGATAATGCTTTAGTGCATGCGTTTCGGGATCTCGACACTGTTGAAATGTCACTTTCACGTCAGCCATCCGTACTGTTAACTACATCAATCATTTGTCCAATTCTGCTTTGTGCTGGCTGAAGTCTTCTTTAATTAGTGGTGTCTTACTTGTGCTTAACCCAGTCAACAGCTATCCAGAGGTTTGCTTCTTCCACAGGGTTATCTCTCCGGCCAGGTTTGCAGCTTTGGCCTTACTCCCCAGACCAGTTCCCCAGAGTCTCCAAACCAAGCAGGTGTCTTTATTTTCTGTTTAACGCCTGCAATGTTTTCAAGTTCTGCATTTCCTCCAATGCGACCAGAAAATGTGATTCTTTATTTGACTCTTAACCCCAAACACAGTTTCTGTTAACCTATATACTTTGTTTGGCCTTTCTGTCCTGACAACAATTAACCTACATTTCCTGCTGGCCATGGGGCAGTGGCAACACCCACCACAGCAACATTAATGGTTGCCTCACTTCAATTAACACCCACTGCTCCTGAGTGTCTCAGGGTTTCTAGTTCTTCAGCATGTGTTTATGTAATGGTTATAAATGAGCAGGACAGTAGGGTTGAGGCAGCAGGGGGCATGGACAAAGTGGGAGGGTAGCCCACAATGTAAGATCACCTGGAAAAAAACATCATGCAGGCAGACTTCCAGCACATCTGATTCCTCATCCACCCATTCCAGCCAACATTCACTTGAGGGGCAAGAGTAAGACTCCCAATAGTATCTGGATGCAGCCTTTATGATGCAAGATGATATTGCATCACCCAGCAATGCAATGTCAGACACAATGCACTCAATGGAGTGAGTGACGTCACTGTGATGGGTAGGGTTAGGGGTGGGGTTAGGTGAGCGCATTAAAAAGCATTGGATGCAGCTCTGATTGCACTGCACCGAGTCTGCAGCCAGACCCCTCTTAAGACTCCAGCATGCCAGTTATGCTTTGGTAGGGAATTATTACAACACCTATTGAGCAGCTGTGTAAAGACTAGGGGTGTCAAAATTAATCGTTTCTTCGGTGCACTGCGATGCAGATGCGGACAATTCGGTATCAGTTCAGTAATAATCATAACCGGTTATTACTGACGTCATTTACCTCATATGCGCTCTGTCGCGAGGGAGGCGATTGCGAGTATTTACAGCGCTTTAACTACTTAAAACTCATAAACTGCACAATTTCACTGTGTGTGTTTGCTGGATCAGTCTTTCACTGACATATACAACAATAGCCCCTATTTCACTGAGATCGAGAGAATGAAAGTAGCCTACTCCATTTCTCTCTCTCTCTCTCTCTCGCTTTCTCTCTCTCTCTCTTTCTCACACACACAGTGGCCCATTTGACCTGCTGGCGTGGTTTTTCTACTCTTCTCGGCTGTTTTACAGCGTTACTTTTGCATCCAGAAACGAGCGCGTGTCTGCAGAGTTTTCTCCACCGTGTCTATCATAAATCAGCTGTGAGATCGCCGCTGCCGCCTGCCGCTTATCGGTGTCACTCATCTGTGAAGAACGCAGCATGCAAGAGCCAATCGCAACCGTTTTTTTTTGAGGGTGTGACCAATCAAAGGGATGTAAGAGAACTAGACAAGGATCAGAAATTGAGCTGGATATTTATATTTGTTTATATTATTTGCTAAATGCTCGTTTTGTTTAAAGGTACAGTTTATAAATCTGACTATTTGTATTAAATGACAAAATTGTATTACAAATAGTATATAAATATTAATATATTCATACATTTTAATACAAGAACTGCTGCTGTGAAGAAAATATAAAACTGTGTATGGAAAGCATCGTCAATGGACCGTGATACACCGAAATATCGAATTGAACCGAATCGATGGCATGATAATCGTAACCGAACCGAATCGTGAGACTAGTGTAGGGTTACACCTCTACTAAAGACCCTGGTGGATGGGCACTACCGTTGACGGCATTACCAAGTACTGAAGGCAATGGCAGAAAGCATGTGCCTTGCCATCATCTCTGTTAGGTACCATCTTGCCCTGAAAAGGTGGATTGACTTTGTGAAAGCTAGTGAGGAACCCTGCCAACTGCAAAGGACAAGATCGGGCTTCCTTTACTCAGCCTCTGATTGAAAGTTGCAAGTCAACCTGGGGAAGCACATAAAGTCCCTAAAGCACAACATCACTCCAACCAGACGTAATTATAATTTCTGAGACAACAAGACAGTTGATTATGCTTGAACGGATGGAAGAGGCAAATGAAAAGAAAAGCTGAAAGTACAAGGAGATAGAAGAGAAGTGTCGGTAAGGAGAATGGAATAATGAGCCAATAGAGGTGGGCTGTAGAGGGTTTGCAGGGCGTTCACTCTGTAAAGTCTTCAACCAGTTAGGCCTAGCAGTAGCAGCTAAGAAGAAGGTGATTAGGTCCATTTGTGAAGCAACCACCGTGACTCCACAATATTTTCAACAAAAAAGTTACTGAGAATTATATTTGACCAAAAAATGAACATGAAGAGTTTTTATCTCTTCAAAGTTCAATCAATAAATATTATAAGCAAATTAATTTATTTTTTTAAGCTAACGGAAGAATAAAGATAAAAGGAAAAATCATTTAGCATTTTTTCTATTATGACAGCTATACGAAGTGTAAATAAATGCAAATGTAAATACAGCAAAACAGGCCCACTTGAAAAGAGAAATTTACAGCTCAATAAATATTTACTGAAGAAAATGTTTGAATTAAAAATGAACTTAATAACTACAGGATAGAACAACTACAAGATATGTAAAAGTATGTATTTTAAACAAGCAGACAAAAGAGGATAAAAACAAAAAAGTGATCACACATTTGTTATCTTAAATGACAGATACTATATTCATTTACTCATATCTGCTGCAGATGAAGTTGAGTCTGTCAGTTTCAGGACGGCTGATCCAGGTCTGATCTCCTTCAGACTGAACTGCTCCAGATCTCACTGTGGGTTCACAGTCCTCCTCTGATGTGCCGTTCCCTGGAGCCCAGTTCTGATAGCACACGGTCTCTCCACTCACCCAGAACCAGATGCCCGAAATGTGGGAGAAACGCAAACCCAACCACACCGCCTCAGTAGTTGCCAGTTTAACCACGTTCATCACACGACGCTGCATCTCCACTGACTGAACCGAGACCAGATCCACATGATTCTGTCTGCAGTATCTCAGAGCTTCAGACCACGACAGATTCTGCTGGATCACAATCAGTTTATCTGGACACAAAACAAAGCAGAAACTAGAGAGAGACTGATCAACAACAACATGCAGAACAAACACTGTGGAGGAATTTGACATGTCAGACACTTCGGCCGCATTTACACTGCACTGTTCAAGTGACTCCATTACGATTTTTTCTACCATGTGGCACAGATCGGATTTGGCTCATGTACATGTAAGCAGGAACAAATCGCATGGATTCTGATTTACTCAAATCAGATTCAGGCCTTGTTCATATTTGGAAATTTATCCAATATGAATCGGACCTGTGTTCTCGTGTCTGCAGTGTAAGCAGACAGATCGGATTTTCTCCTGTCAATGCGAGTCACGCGTCATTAAAAACCATAGTGAAAGACGTTAAGTCTAACGCTTTCTTTTCAGAACAGACTTCAGCAAAGTCTCAAACCTTAAACCTCATACACAAGGACTTAAACAGCTTTTATATTGTCATGTAGCACAGGTATTTAAGCATGTTAATGAGAGCGAGAGAGCGCAATCTCCGCCAGTGCATAGCTACATCACAAGCATAAATCCCGCCATGGACATTATATCAAGATGCCTAAAGGTTTTTTAAAAAGCCTATATACCAAAAGAAGATGGACAAATGAGAAACTTTCTGTCATAAATTATAGTAAAACAGCTTGTCAAAAGCTGTGAACAGACTACATACAGGAATAGAGAAAAGAGCACTCTTATTATCAGCTGTTAGTAAGCGCATGCCCTTTTTTTCCCTGGTCATTGTGTCTTTGCCGTGTGCTGTGTAAATGCAGACAAACGGATACGATTCACTTTTAAAAGATGATGTAAGCAGGTCATCAAAAAAGTCAGATACAGTCACAAAATCGGAATTGACCATCAAGATCTGCAGTGTAAATGCAGCCTTAGAGTCAACTTTAAGAGATCTGCAGCTGATGATGGATTAAGTGTGATTGGAGGATCTGCTCACCTTCATGACACACAAAAGGATACTGGCGGTCACAAGAGACTTCTTCCCATCCTCTCTGAGAATTCTGACCAATCACTGTGCAGCTTTCATTACCTCCAGAATTATTTGGTTTACCAGTATCCCAGTATCTGAATGAGGAGTTGCTCTGATCTGACCACTGCCATGTGTCTCTGAACAGACCGATCCAGACTGAAGATCTAGAAAAGTTTCTGTCATTAATGAACTTCTCCAGCTGTTGATTCTCATTCTGGTTCCTCACAGTGACCAGGTCAGTGTGATTCTGTCTGCAGTAACTCTGAGCAGCTGTCCAGTTCATCGTCTGATTGACAAACACGAATCCTCTGCTCACTTTTAAAAATCCAATGGAAAACATTATTTTATCTACTTATTCTTCTACTGCTTTATGGTTGAAATGTGAACAGATGCAGCAGTGAGAGCATCAGCAATGTTTATATTAACAAAAAATATTCATATTTTTTTATATTTAACATTTTAAGTCCTTTAAACCAGCAGTTCTCAGCCTTTTTAAACTTTTGGCTCCCTAAACCAAAGACATGTTTTCATGGTCCACCTTCAAGTTATATTTATTAATTTAAATGATAATTTTTGGCAATTTTTTGGTTGCTTTGGTTGCAAATGTCAGACATTTTCATAATTTTACTGATTTAAAAAAAGTTGGCCAAATTAAATATTATTCATTCATTTTCTTTAGCTTAGTCCCGTATTTATCAGAGGTTACCACAACGGAATGAACCGCGGACTGTTCCAGCATATGTTTTTGCACAATGGATGCCCCTCCGGCTGCAACCCAGTACTGGGAAACACCCATATACACTCATTTACACACACACTCATACGCTACGGCTATTTTACTTAATCCAATTCACCTATAACGCATGTGTTTAAACTGTGGGGGAAACCAGGGAATCCAGAGGAAATCCATGACAACATGGGGAGAACATGCAAACTCCACACTGAAAAGGGGATCATTACAACATTTGCAATGGAGAGAGGAATGATTTGAGACAGAGAGCTGAGTTGATCACAACAACAAGGTTGGAGTTCAGGGGAAGAACGATTCCAGAAAGAAGGTAAGACAAAAACAGAAGTCAAAAATTAAATAAACAAGTAAAAAATAGGCTGATAATGTCGTAAAATCTGAAAACGTAGGGAAGTGCTTTAGGGAAGTGAGTGGGTGCTTGACAAGCGGTGCTTTTCAAAACACTATTGGTTGGGTTTAGGCAAAGGCGTTGGTTGGGGGAATCGGGTTGGTCAGTCAGTCAGCCAGTCAAGTGGCCTCTGGTAGATTTACGTGAGAACAGCAGGCGTGAATGCACAGAAGACATTTGAGATCTGAAAAAGCATACACAGCAGCCTCTAGTAAATTCATAAAAACAAAAACTGCTAAAAAACATAGCTTGTGGCATGTATTTGGTGCTCTTAAAAAATGTATATAGGGGTACATAATCAGAGTGAGCCTGAGCTGTTTATATTGGCCAATATATCATGTCAATAGTCAAAATTGTCCTTAACTATGCTTTATTAGACATAATTAATATGCTGCATATAGTAGATCAAAGACAGCTACTATACTTTGTTCTAATTTGGGTAAGCAGAGGGGTTTTAAATAAATTACATCAAGTTAAAAGACTTTAATTGAAGTAATTTGGCATGGTTAAGTCAAGTTTTCAACAAAATTTGGCTGGTGAAAATGCAAAATGGGCGTCATGGGGGCAGTGTGGGTAGCACAATCTCTTTACAACAAGAAGGTCCCTGGTTCAAGCATTGGCTGGGTCAGTTGGCATTTCTATTGGAGTTTGCATGTTCTTCCCGTGTTCGTGTGGGTTTCTTCCGCATGCTCCGGTTTACTGCCAAAGACATGTGCTTAAGGTAAATTAGGTGAGCTAAATTGTCCATCGTGTATGAGTGTGAATGAGTGTGTTCAGATGTTTCCCAGTGATGAGTTGCAGCTGGAAGGGCATCCACTGCGTAAAACATGTGCTGGATAAGTTGACGGTTCATTCCACTGTGGCAAAAATAAAACGAATGAATGAATGAAAATGCAGAAAGGCTAGAACTTTGGACAATTACTAACCACAGTGGCTGGTGAGCAAAAAAATTATTTTCAAGCCCTGATTATAAGTATTATCCTACTTATCAAATCTTGTCCCGGGTGCTAATGCAGTCTCTAGCAGTCATGTCATATATGTTGCTCACTTAAACAATATAATCATCATATTAATTTAACTTATGACCGGACATTTTTAAGTATGTTAAATTTAAAAGTAAATGACATTTTAAAATAAATTTAGAAGTAAATCTATTTCATTTCTATTAATAACAGCTGGCATGTTCTCTCTGCGTTCGCATGGGTTTCCTACGGGTGCTCCGGTTTCCCCCACATGTCCAAAGACATGCGGTACAGGTGAATTGGGTAGGCTAAATTGTCCGTTATGTGTGAGTGTGTGTGTGAATGTGTGTGTGGATGTTTCTCACAGATGGGTTGCGGCTGAAAGGGCATCCGCTGCGTAAAAACTTGCTGGATAAGTTGGCGGTTTATTCCGCTGTGGCGACCCCGGATTAATAGTGGGACAAAGCCGACAAGAAAATGAATGAATGAATGAATAATAACAGCTGGCAGCCCGTCTGCAATTCCATCACAGCCCCCTGGGGTTGAAAACCACTGCTTTAAACTAATAACATTAGGATCACAATTTGGTTTTATTTTTGCTTCGCTTTTCTTATAAAAGTAACATGTAGAATGTTCACTGTTGTCATATTTAAATGTCAATTTGAAGATTGTTTAAGAATGTTACTGTAAGGGTTTGTACTCACTGTTGTAGCAGATGAAGTAATTGTTGTTATTACATGGCACAACAGACCACTGTCCATTTCTCATCTTAGAAGTACAATTATTATTGTTGGCTGGACTAGATGACAAGTTCAGATAGAGCGCAGGATCACCTGAAGACCAATGCCATTTATAAACACTCGTCTTCTGAAGACCAATCCAGATGCGTTCATCATTCACACTTTTCCTCAGCCGGATCGTGTCATTCATGTTGTCAACAGTGGCCAGATCTGTGTATTTCTCTCTGCAGTATCTCTGAGCTTCAGTCCAGGTCTTCTTCTCATTTATAAAGTGATACTGACGCTGAACACATTCAGATATGGAGCAGAGAGCTGTGAAAGAGATACTTTGCTTTAATGCTTTTCAGAACAGAGTCAAACCTAATGAAACCATAAACCATAAATCAAACTACAATCACACTCACCAATCAGCAGGAGGAAGTATTGAGTTTGAGTCATTTCTGAGGAAGAGACATATAGATAAACAATCAGATTTATTTTAGAGTAAAACATGCATTAATGTAGAGTAAATCATTAATAAGAATATGAACAGATGTCAGAAGAGTATTTATGTGTAAAAGTGAGTTATTCTTACCTCAGAGCTGGTGTGTTTCTGTCCTCAGTCTGATGTTTCTGTCTGCAGCTTCAGACTGTGATTATTCTATATCATACCATATCATTTATTTATTCATTCCTCTAAACAGGCCTTTCTTCCTCATTCAGGTGTATTTGCCTATTTATCTCTGTGTTGATCTTTGTTGCTGTACTTCCCTGCATTACATTATAACACTAACCATATTCGAATAATAAATATACATTCTTTCATGGCAGTTTACACTACTGGTCAGTTTGGGGATTTTTAAATGTTTTAAAATGAGCTTCTTCTGCTCACCAAGTCCACATTTATTTAATCAAAAATACATTACAAATTGTAAAACTGTGAAATGTTACTGTACTATAAAATAAATGTTCAAATGTAGTTTATAATTAAATTTAATCATGTATTCCAGTGATTTTAATGATGAATTTTAAGCTTACTCCAGTCTTCAGAGTCACATGATCCTTCAGAAATCACTCAAATCAAATCAAACCACTTTTATTATCACATCATCAGCAGCACGTGTGCTATGGTGAGTGAAAAGCTTAGGTGCTGACTCCAGACAGTACAAAATACTGATATAATACAACGACAAATACAACTCTGATATTAATAATTATTATAATTATTAATGGTTATAGTAATGTAACCCCACCAGTTCGACACCACCCAACCCGCTCTGAGCTGGGATGCGCATGACCGGCTACCTTCCGCATGGGAGCCGGTTGCTCTAACAAGGAGACTAAAGACCATTGCTGCTCCCCAATTCGCATACTTATACTAAGTCCTAAAAGTGTGTACTTTTTTGTGAAGGAAATGTTTATACTTTTGTGTGCAACAGAAGAGTATGCAAGCTTTGGGACATATTACTTCCTCTTTAACAGATCGTTGTGTTGCTTAGTTATGAACTCGGTCAATCATCCACACATCATCTATATTTCTGTCCTATTTAATTTCCTACCTTATTGGAGAAGCAGCAGCAGGTTAATCTGCCGTTCATGAGTCTTTCATGCAGAGAAATCCCCTCAGGTCTTTGGGTAATTCTGCATTCAGACATTTTGACGTCCAAAAGTATCCGTATATACGTTCAGTATTGTTGTTGCTAATGAAATATAAGACACATAATGCGATTTAAATATGTTCCAGTGGGCTAGATATTGACTAACAGTCATTCAAACATCTTTACTGAAGCCTCTCTACTTGACGGTTGGTCTTGCTCGTCCATCATGTTTCACATGCATTGTAGCTCTAATCGAATTCATGCCCAATGCCGAATGTATTGTGGGCAATATCAGCGATCATGAAGGCTTCTACTTAATTTTTTTCCGGGAACCTCTGGCATACTCTTTTCAACATACTATGGTTTAGGACACACTTATTATTTTTTTAAATACTATTTAGGACGGATAGTATGCGGATTGGGACGCTGCACATGGCCTCTAGTGTTTGTCACTACAGTGCCTTTTAGAGGTCAGAGGAGTGAGGTTTACCTGCACAGCACTTACTAGCTGGCCTTTGTTACAGTGATAAAAGCTGTAGACTGGATTAACGATTCCAATTAAAACTACCTCTGTTGTCAACTATTTTCAATGAAAATGCGCTAAACTCTGCTAGATTATGTCATAAACTAGCATAAATTATATATTATGTCAAAATATATGCATAAATTTGCATATTATGGTCGCCATTACGTTCTCCTGTTTCTGTTTGTTTAAAAGCCTATGGTTAATAAAGGGGTATTTATATTTGCACTACGCTTTATGTTAGCATGTCAATTTAGCTAAATTTATTGTTGTTTGAAAACAGTATAATAAGTTCCGAAACTGTCACCAAAATATCTGTGACCGTCAGCAAGAAAATAATAAATGGTCAAATTAAATTGTTAAAATAAAAGAGAAGCAGATCAGTTTGACTGTACAAGGGAAATACCCTCACATTGCCGGTGCTAAATTATTTGCTGTCGGTATGCAGAGGAGTGATCTGCTGTCAGGCTGCAGTTGGGAGAAACTGCTGTATGAGGACTGGGCAGTGCTCTGAGACGGAAGAGGGGCCAACGGCATCACCTGCAGCTCTTTGAGAATAGTAGGGACGGTACAGTATGGAAAAATGACTGTCTAATTAATGAATATTTAACATTTTAATTATAAGAATTACATTTTTTTTTTCATTTAATAAACCCCGCCTTAATGAACATAACAATTTTGTTGAAAAAATACCTTAAAAAAACGGACCCCAAACCTTTGACTTTGTTTAAAATAAAACTATTAAAATCACAGGTCACCCTCGATTGATAATCGTTTATATTTTATGTGATTATGAGCTTCCCCTTACAAAAACAACTGCAGTACAAGAGCAGTATATAAAAGTATAACTGCAGGAAAATTAAGTACAATCACAAAATTGCAATACAATGAAGTATAAACACAGTTCAAATGCAGTACAATACAGTTCAACAGCAATAAAAGTTGCAGTAAACTGGAATAAAAACAAGTAAACTCCGTCTTTACAGCACTTGTGCTGCTGTAGTCTAATATGCAAGAACCGTACTGCACTTGTGTTCCAAGGGGTTTGTTCTTCATCTTCCAAGAATATATTGTCCTTTTTTTAGGGATTTTTTTGGGATTCAAGTAATTTTCTGATTAGAATTTTAATTCAAAATTGGATAATATAAACTGCAGTGAATTGAACAGTACAACAGCAGTAGCCTGTATACAATGATATCTGTGGTATATTCAATACAACTGCAAAATTGCAGTATAATAAGGTATAAACACAGTTAAACCACAATGCAATAAAGTAAACGGCAGTACAATCTACACTGCAGCCGAATGAACATTAAATAAACTGACAGGGGCAAAATAGTGATGTTTGTAAAGGTCTTTATTCTGTTGCACACAAAAAAATATAGATTTTGAAAAAAGCTTTTTAGTGGCCCATGGACTTCTATAAAAGAATGACTATGGGATTCAGTGGGTATCATCAAATCAACATTTTCCATAATGACTAACTTTGTGTGGAATTACATCAAAGCCCACCACATATCATGTCCATCCAGTTTAGCCTTTTGGTCTTTGTTCTGGGTTTTGTCTCTGTTCTTCCTGTGTTTCTAACCACATCCTCTGGTTACCATTGAAACAGCTGTAGAGGAAATTGTGTTTTCAAGCTTTACTGCTTTGTCTAGACGCAGGGGTGCCCAAACTTGGTCCTGGAGGGCTGGTGTCCTGCATATTTAGTTCCAACCCCAATTAAATACCTGAACCTGCTAATCCAACACAATCTCACGGCAATTCGTAGCATTTTGATTTAGTGGCTAGTTTGTATGAATTTGTATGATCTAATTCGTACAACTTAGTTCGATTTGCTCATCACCCAATGATGGTTGGGGTTAGGGCTGGGGTTGGGTGCCACGCCTCCATTTTAAAATCGTACATTATCCTATGACTAAACTCATACAAATTTGTACGAATTAGCCACTAAACTGACAAATGTAAAATATTTATGTTTCCTCGTGAGATCAGGTTGGCTAATCAAGCTCTTTCTATGTATAATAGAAACTTCCAGGCAGGTGTGTAGAAGAAAGCTAAACTCTATAGGACAGTGGCCCTCTAGGAACAAGGTTGCACACCCTTGATTTAGACCAGCGGTCACTAAACTTATTCCTGGAGGGCCGGTGTCCTGCAGATTTTTGTTCCAACCCTAATCAAACACACCTGAACAAGCTAATCAAGGTCTTACTTGGTATACTTGAAACATCCAGGCAGGTGCGTTGAGGCAAGTTGGAGCTAAGCCCTGCAGGGACACCGGCCCTCCAGGACCGAGATTGGTGACCCCTGATCTAGACCAAGGGTGCCCAAACTCTGTCCTGGAGGGCTGGTGTCCTGCAGGTTTTAGCTCCAACTTCCCTCAAAACACCTGCAAGGATGATTCTAGAAACCCTAGTAAGAGCTCAATTAACTAGCCCAGGTGTGTCTAATTGGGGTTGGAGCTAAACTTTGCAGGACAACAATGAATCACACTACAGAAAAGTGTCTGAAACCTTGTGAATCTGCCAGAAATATCTGATCACAACAGCCATTAAATGGCTGTTAATTAACACATCAACCTTACTAAGATTCAAGATTTTTGCCTAGGAATTTATAAAATCATTTTGTATTTGCCAAATTTGTCTCAGATGACCAAATCGTGACTGAAATCCCACAGTGTTAGCAACGCTCAAGAATAAATTGTACTTCTGCATAAAGCTCATATGTATGGTCTGATGTGGCCTCATAGCCCTTGCTGACGTGCACCTCTCAACAAAAGTAACTACACTTCGCAATGATGGGTAGCGGAAGCTCTGTGATTGGTTGGCTTGGTAACAGTGATGAGTGTGGGCGGTGCTGAGAGCTGCAAGCTTGATGGACCGAGCGTTTACAAGTGTCGATTCTCATGAAGGAGCTCCAGATGAAAACTTTTGTTTTGTGTTTACCTTATGATTAAAGTTGTTGCACGTCCATGGATTGCAAAAAAACACCTGCGAAGAAACTCGAGAAGAACATAATAACTTATTTTAAGTTGACTTTTTTTGCTAGGTGATTACGCAACATGAAGCCTCATTCCAGAATCATGAAGCTGTGCTGAACTGTCAAGAGGAGTTAATAGCTAAATATTCTCAACCCTTTCTGTTGTGACGTCCTCCATTTGCCACCTTTTTGAAAGCCCGACAAAGGGAGAAGTCTACGTTTACTGGGGTCCAGAAGCAGCAAGGACCACCACTTTACTTTTGACCCTGCTCAATTTCAGATTCAAAGAGGTGGATGCCTCTGATGTTATTTGTGAAAGGCAGTCTGTTACAGATGAGTAAGGAATTATTTGCAATAAAATTAGCTTTGGAGGAACGCCACCATTTGACTTCAGGGGGCTTAACATCCTTTCTAGGTTCTTAGTAACCACAAGAACCTGGAATAATTACAACAGCCAAAGCAAATGGATCGTCAGCAGATCTGATGTTCCCTGTATTTAAGAGGCTTCAGTTTATTCTAACTTGCAGACCTGGCACCAACAGCCAGATGCTTTGTCCCAAGCCTATTTCCCAGAAAACAGGTAAAACCTGAAGCACCTGCCATCCCTAGCTCTAAGGTTGTTGCTACCCTTAGATGGGAAGTTGAGCATGTGGTGCGAAGATTTCTGACTCAGGAGTCTGATCCAGGCGGCACCCAGTGGATGGCTTTACGTCCCTCAATCTTTAAAAATCCCTTAAGTTGCATTGGCAAATCGTGTTTTCCTTTGACCCAGGATTATAAAATTACATCCTTTACGCAACAAGCTCAAAATCTAACATAATAAAAGCATTTAACAGTGCTTCAATTTCTCCATGATCTAGACCAGAGGTGGCCAATCCTGTTCCTGGAGATCTACCTTCCTGCAGATTTCAGTTGCAACCCTTATCAAACACACCTGTCTGTAATTATCAAGTGGATTTCAGGTCCTAATTAATTGGTTCAGATGGGTTTGATCAGGGTAGGAGCTAAAATGTACAGGAAGGTAGATCTCCAGGAACAGGGTTGAGCACCCCTGATCTAGACACACTACTAATCACAGAACTAAATATTGTAGGCATTTTACTTTAACTCTAGATTTATTGAGTTTAGTAAATCAAGGTGCTGTGCTTCATGGCAAGTTTTGTAAATTTATTGACAGTTTAACATAACGATTTACAAAATCTACCATGTTATAATTGCAGGATTGGACAATATCATCTGATAGTTGTGAAAGTGAGATCTAAAATAGAAAAACAAGTGTGCTGATTTAAGTGAAGTTTTTAAACTAATTTCGAGAGGAGCACGTGATATAATTGACTGCAGCTGGCCACCTATCTACATTCATTAGTTAGCCAATCAGATCTATCCTAACTCACTATAAGTAGCCTAGCTAGATATTACTCCCTTATCTTCGTTTTCCGAAGAAACCCCCCTACCACCCCCTTTCTCCTTTACAAAAAAGGGGAGCTCTCGAGAACCACCTGATCTCGTACTCCCCTCACATGCTCTATGGACCTGGCGGGAGCCCTGGGCTCAACTATCTCCGAGCTCAGGGTTCTCTCCCGAGACAGCATGCCAAACCTGCTTACAGTTGTCAAGCAATATCTAAGTGTGAACTCTTGAAGTGAAAATAAAAAAGGTGTCCAGTGGCTTCAGATCATGCCAAATATTGTGCTGAAGTCATAACCACTTTTAATTAACATTTCTTTGCTCTCATATTGAGATTTGTTTGCATCATAAATTTCCTAACCTTTATTTTCCACAGATAATTGTTTAAGATGCCACAAGGCTGAGTAAAGTTGTTAGAAGAGTAAATGATCTACACGTAGAAAATATTAGATGATTGTATAGACATTCGTGTTTGATTTTTTTCCCAGGTAAAATGGGGTTTCATGAAGATGTTTATATGAAAAATATAATGCTATTAAGTGAAGTTTGTTTATGAAAAAATTTAGAGAAGCGCATGTACTTATAATTGATCACTGCTGGTCCCGTATTAACTAATGCATGATTAATGAGAATCAGATGATTCCTAACTCCTTATAAATAACCAGAATTTCTTCAATTATCTTCACCTTGAAGAATCCTCCCTTTCTACCCCTTCTCCTCTTTTATAGGGTGGCTCTGCAGCCCAGTGGTTAGCACTGTTGCCTCTCAGCAAGAATTTCACTGGTTCAAGTACTTAACAGGCCAGTTGTCGTTTCTGTGTGGCGTTTTAATTGTTTTTTCTGTGCTAACTTTAATCCATAATCCACAGACATGAATCATAAGCGAAGTGATCAATACAAATTGGCACTATAGTCGAGCTCTTAACCAGCAGATAAATATCTCTATATAGTAATTTCTAATTTGTCATAAGCCCTAAATAAGGAGGAGCTCTCAAGACCTACCTGAGCTCAAACTCCCCTCTCGCCAGCAAACAAAAGGATTTTACGATGAACAAGCTTCATAATCAATCGTCAGCTGTAGTGACGATTTGAAGTGTAAACTCTTGAAATTAGAAAAGAATGAGCATTAGTAAATTTTAAATAAGTTTATTTGAGCTGATGTTGTTGAATACTCCTGTGTACAGTTTAAGATGCATACATGTTGTAAGATATTTTATAAGTAACTCTTAATGGCAGTCTGAAAAATTGTATTTTATAACATGCACGATATTACGAGTTTGATTCTCACAATCACTTTTTAAAATAGTAAATTGCAAAAATAAAACTAATGAAAATACACAGTAGTGAAAAGGAAATTGCCAAACCACCAGAAAACGAAGAGTTCATGAAATCAATTAACAAAAATAGTTACATTTTTTAGTAAAAACCTCATACTTATACCATTATTTTCTACTTTTCTAATTGACTGACATTTCATTGAACAGTCAAATGTTTTGGAGCCACTTTTTCCAGAAGACAATTACTGAATTTTTAAAGGTACCCTAAATCCACACACACACACACACACACACATATATATATATATATATATATAGTTTAATTCAGAATTATTAGCGCCCCTGTTTATTTTTTCCCCAAAGATTTTTTTTCAGCACATTTGTAAACATAATAGTTTTAAAAACCTATTTCTAATAACTGATTTATTTTATCTTTGCCATAATAACAGTAAATAATATTTTACTTGATATTTTTCAAGACACTTCTATACAGCTTAAAGTGACATTTAAAGGCTTAACTAGGTTAGTTAGGTCAACTAGGCAGGTTAGGGTAATTAGGCAAGTTATTGTATAATGATGGTTTGTTCTGTAGACTATCAAAAAAAATAATGCTTAAAGGGGCTAATAATTTTGTTCCAAATTTTTTTTTTAATTCTTTAATTTAAAACTGCTTTTATTCTAGCTGAAATAAAACAAATTAGACTTTCTCCAAACGAAAGAATATTATCAGACATGCTGTGAAAATTTCCTTGCTCTGTTAAACATCATTTGGGAAATATTTAATATTTAATAGAAAAAAATCAAAAGGGGGCAAATAATTCTGACTTCAACTGTATATATATATATATATATAGTATTTAAAACTTTAAAACTTACAGTGTACAGTTGTGACTAAAAGAAATGTTACATGCAGTAGATCCTAAAATGAGTTTTTCATTATACACTAAATAAACACAATATATTATAATAGTCTGGAAAATTAAATATTAATTATTTGAAACACACCAGTCTTTGACTTAATAATTTCTGCAGATGAAGTTGAGTGTGTCAGTTTCTGGGCAGCTGATCCAGGTCTGATTTTCTCCAGACTGAACTGCTCCAGATCTCACTGTGGGCTCACAGTCCTCCTCTGATGTGCCGTTCCCTGGAGCCCAGTTCTGATAGCACACGGTCTGTCTTCTCACCCAGAACCAGATGCCCAAAGCACAGGAGTGACGTAAACCCAACCACACCGCCTCAGTAGATGCCAGTTTAACCACGTTCATCACCTTATACTGCATCTCCTCTGACTGAACCGAGACCAGATCCACATGATGCTGTCTGCAGTATCTCAGAGCTTCAGACCACAACAGATTCTGCTGGACCACAAGCAGTTTATCTGGACACAAAACAAAGCAGAAACTAGAGAGAGACTGATCAACAACAACATGCAGAACAAACACTGTGGAGGAATCTGTCATGTCAGACATGTAGAGTCAACTTTAAGAGATCTGGAGCTGATGATGGATTGAGTGTGTTTGGAGGATCTGCTCACCTTCATGACATACAAAAGAAAACGTTCGAGGTTACTAAAGTAACCCTTCGTTCCCCGAGGAGGGGAACGGAAGCACTATAAGTGGATTTGATTTGTAAAATCCACGCATTGGGAGGTTCGGTTCAGAAGCTACTCGTCTGAAAGAGTATTGAACGGGCCAATTAAGAATGAATTGGCAGCGCAAGCCTGCGCAGGTGAGCGGCATAAGCAATCAACTGAGTATATAAGCTCACCTGGCGCCAGCAGACGCTATCCTTTTTAAGCTGAAGAGACTTTCAACAGCTAAGGGACAGTCATTATGGCGACGGAGTATAGTGCTTCCGTTCCCCTCCTCGGGGAACGAAGGGTTACTTTAGTAACCTCGAACGTTCCCCTTCGGGGGGAACTTCAGCACTATAAGTGGATTTGATTTGTAAAATCCACGCATTGGGAGCCCATTGAAAGCGCCATAATGACTGCACCTTACCAACACCCCCGATGAGGAGATAGTCAAGCAAGCGTGACGCACCCGCATCATGGGGGGCGCGGTCCTCCAACGTGTCCCTGGCCCTAATTTATCCTACTTCAACAGAAGTTTTACGGATTTAGATATATTTTTTTTTGGGAAGTCGTGAGCATCTAGATAATTCTAGGAAAATACGACAGTACGTTGGGAAGCGTGCAATCCCGATAGGGAGGACGCTGCGGAGGCCATCCGTTACCCAAGGGGGGATAGATGGCAGAATTTACATATGGACTAGCCCTATAAAGGGGGAGTACGCATAGCAAAAGAGTGGTTAGCGGGGAGGGAAGACACGGGTCCGCCCAGGGGGGGGACTTAACCGTGGCGGAATAAGCATATGGGATCGCCTAGTGGGGATCACGCATAGCAGGCACCTTTACCCAAAACGCGGGCTGACCAGCGGGCAGGCCTACAACGTAGTGGGCCAGCAAGTGACTCCTCCGCTGAGTCAGTGCTGGGGGCCACGGAGGAATCTGCAGGGCTCACCTGACGGGGAACTTTACTGACAGATAAAAAGGCGCACGTATCTCCGTGTTAGGGAAAATGGCGCAGCAAGCGTGTTTCAACACCCTACCGAATTGTTTCCTCAATCACCAAGGGTTACCTAATACCCTTGAGGAAACCGGCTCCACTCGCAGATTGTAAAACCTTGCAAATGTGTTGGGTGTCACCCAGCCCGCAGCTCTACAGAAGTCTGTTAGAGGGGCGCCGCGTGCGCGCGCTCGAGAGGATGCGAAACTCCGAGTGGAGTGCGCACGCGCTCTCGGGGGACGCGGCTTATCTCGGCTCTGATAGTGAAAGAAAGGCATCCACAATCTAGTGGGAACTTATTTCGGTACGGCACTTCCCTGCTGCCGACCGTTATAACAGACGAAGAGCTGCTCAGATGATCTAAACTCTGAGTGCGGTCCGGATAATACGCAAAACGCGAACTGGACAATAAAGAAGGGCTGGGTCTGCCTCCTCCGAGGGCAGCGCTTGCAGGCTCACTACCTCGTATTAAAACGGAGTGGTAGGAACCTTGGGCACATATCGCGGGCGGGGTCTCAGGACGTGAGAGAAGCCAGCCCAATTACAGGCACGAGTCACTGACCGAAAAATGCCTCCGGGTCCCCGACCCTCTAATCGATATCAACGCGACCAGCAGAGCTGTCTTCAGGGACAGAAAGATACTGAGTCGAGGATCGAAGGGATCTGACGCGGCTTGTGTAGCGAGGGCGAGATCCTAAGAGGGCATGAGAGGGGGCGGGATGGATTAATTCGCTTAACGCCCCTGAGGAACCGGATGATGAGGTTATGCGTTCCCACGGTGCTGCCAGCCACCGCGTTATGAGAGCGGAGATGGCAGCCACGTAACCTTGAGTGTGGAGGGCGACAGCCTGCTCTCCAGCTTCTCTCGGCGTAAAGAAAGCACAACGCTGATCTGGCAAATTACGGGGGTCTTCTCAGCGAGAGACACACCATTCAGTGAATAGACTCCACGTCAGGGCATAGGCGCGCTCGGGGAGGGGGCTCTAGCCCGAGTGACGGTATTAGCCACCGCAATCGGAGGTTACCTAAGTCTTCCTCGCGTCTAAAATCTCTTCAAAGATCGGCGAGGGTGCCAGGTGGTGCCCTGTCCCTGAGAGAGTAGGTGCTCTCTCGAAGGAACTGCCAGGGGAGGGCTATCGCGAGGGAGAGCTCTGACATCCAGGTCCGGTTGAGCCAGAGGGGCGCAACCAGCAACCTGTTCCTCGTCCTCTTCCTGACCTTGCACAGTAACTGCGCGAGCAGGCTCACTGGGGGAAACGCGTATATGCGCGTGCCCCGAGGCCAGCTGTAAGCCAGTGCATCCGTGCCGAGAGCACTCGGTCAGGGAAAGAACAACTAGCAATGAGCGATCTCGGGGGAAGCAACAGATCGATCTGGGCTTCCCCGAATCGCGCCCATATCAGCTGAACAGACTCGGGGTGGAGTCTCCATTCTCCAGGACGCAAGGCTGCCGTGAGAGCGCATCGGCTGCACGGTTGAGCTTGCCTTAATATGAATGGTGTGCAGCGATTTCAGCCGCGGATGACTCCAGAGGAGCAGACGGCGGGCGAGCTGAGACATGCGGCGAGAGCGCATACCCCCTATACGGCTGATATACGCCACCGCCGCCGTACTGTCCGTCCTGACCAGCACGTGTTGCCGCTCCAGCACCGGAAAAAAACGGTGGAGAGCGAGGAACACTGCCAACAGCTCCAGGCGATATGCCAATGCAACTGGGTACCTTTCCACAGGTCCGCAGCCGCATGCCCGCAACGCACAGCCCCCCAGCCCGTGTTGGAAGTGTCTGCTGAAACGACAACAAGACTGGACGCCTGTTCTAGAGACACCCAGGCCTGTAGGAACGAGGGGTCGCTCCAAGGGCTGAGGGCGCGGCGACACAGCGCAGTAACAGAGACTCGGTGTGCGCGCGCGTGCCATGCGCGTCTGGGGACTCGATCGTGAAGCCAGTGCTGAAGTGGTCTCATATAGAATAATCCGAGCGGCATGAAGCGGCTGCGGATGCCATATGCCCCAGGAGCCTCTGAAATAGTTTCAGTGGGACCACTATTTTACTGTCGAGCTCTCTCAGACAGTACAGCATCAGCTGAGCGCGCTCTCCGGAGAGGCGCGCTGCCATGGTGACCGAGTCCAGCTCCAGCCCGAGAGAAGAGATCCTCTGCACGGGGGCGAGTTTGCTCTTTTCTCGGTTGACCTGAAACCCCCACAGGTGGAAGTGCCAGAGCACTTTGTCTCTGTGCATAATCAACTGCTCCGAGAGAGGGCAAAAATCAGCCAGTCGTAAAGAAATTGAGTATGCAGATGCCCGCGAGCCGAAGGGGCGCTGAGGCACCCTCCGCGGGCTTGGTGAGGACCCGCGGAGACAGAGAGAGCCCGAAGGGGAGGGCTTTGTATTGCCAAGCTCGACCTTCAAACGCAAACCGCAGAAACTGTCGGTGGCGAGGAAGAGTGGAGACATGGAAATACGCGTCCATCAGGTCTAATGCTGCAGACCAACCCAGAGGACGAACGCACCGGAGGATGCGCTTCTGCGTGAGCATTCTGAACGGCAGCTTGTGCAGGCAGCGGTTCAAAACGCGCAGATCTAGGATTGGCCGTGACCCACCGCTCTTTTTGGACACGATGAAGCGTGGGCTGTAAAACCCACTCTCCATCTCGGCTGGAGGGAGCGGCTCGATTGCATCCTTCGCCAGGAGGACAGCAATCTCCTCTCGCAAGACAGGGGCGGACAGGGGGCTGACCCTGGTGAATACACACCCGTGACTTGGGGGGCCGTTTCGCGAACTGAATCGCATAGCCGAGTCTGATTGTGCGTATGAGCCACCGCGAAGAGCTGGCCCGCGCTAACCAGGCAGGCAGAGCTCTCGCTAATGGACTCATCGCTACAATCGCTGACGTACCAGCAGTGGGGCAGCGCGGAGTGGGTGTGCTGATCCGGGAAGCTCGCGGGTCCCACGGAAAAGCTGGAGGTGAGATATTTGCTCTCACTCCAAACCCGAGCTCCGGAGGGGAGGCTCGAGGGGTGGGAGAAAGGAGACCGTCCTCCCAGCGCTCGTGAGCCACTGGCGAAACGCACCGAATCTGCAAGCTAGAAAGCATAGCGTCCCAGACTGGCAGATTTCGGGCTGTCACATCTGGGGAAGTGAAAAGTGCCCTTTCATAATGTTTTCATGGCAGTAAAAAGTGTCGTTGGAAATGGGGCCCCGCCCTCCAGCGGGGAAAGAGCAAGTTCCCTCTTCTCCAGATGGCCTGTCCCAGGGGCGCTTCGCGGTCCGTTTCCGGACTTAGCGGCGTTCTGGGCAGGGGGGCTGCCTGCTTCCGAGGTGCCCGACGCGCTCGCTTCGCCTGAGGCGTGTGCGGGGGCGGAGCAGCTCTCGTAGGCGGGCGCCTTCGGCGAGGAGCAGGTATGAATGGCACGGCGGGCGGAGCGGGCTACGGACCGCCGATAAGACATCACCCACCAACTGCTCTCTCACCGCCTTGAATTCCTGGGTGAATTCACAGACAGTGTCGCCAAACCTGGCTGGGGATATGGGGAAGTCAAGAAAGCGGACTTTGTCGACTTTGCGCATATCAGCCAGGGGTGGCGCTCCTGGACCACTAATGTGGACATCGTCCTCCCCAACGCACACGCAGCGGACTCAGTAGTCCGAAGAGCTAAGTCGGCGGCGGTGCGAAGCTCGTAAGCCTGGGTTGGACCCACCCTCGTGCAGCTCGGCCAGCGCCTGCGCTTGGTAGCGCTGGTAGGTGGCTATCGCATGCAAGGCGGAAGCAGCCTGGCCCGCAGCTATGTAAGCTCTAGCTCCGAGGGAGGTAGATAACTTACAGGCTTTGGATGGGAGACGAGGCGGACCCCGCCAAGAAGAGGCGCCGCGCGGATTTACCGCCATCGCGCACTCAACCTGAGGAATCGCCACATACCCCCTGGCTGTTTCACCGTCAAGAGTGGTTAGGGTGGAGGAACACGCAGCACGAGCAGAAAAAAGTGCTTTACAAGACCGCGTGAGCCTACTGTGCACCTCCGGGAAGAAGGGAACGCCCCTCTAGTCGGTCCGGCCGCGGAGCTGGGGGATAAACCATCTCCAACCAACGGCCGAAGCAGCCCGGGAAAGCACGGCTAACATGTCCGTTTCAGGATCCGTAGTGACAGCGCTCACCAGCCCGAAGGGGGCGAGCGGGTCTGGAACATCATCGGACAATGAAAGCCCACCCTCCGATGCCGCGGTGGACATCTGGTCTCCGGTGTCATCGGGCGTAAGGGCTACCATCTGTTAGACGGATCGCTTCCCCCGCCCGAAGCTTGGATGGAGCGCTTAGAGGAGCGGGAGGTCCGCGGGCCCGTGGGCGACGGATTATCTCTCGCTGAAACCCTCAGATCTGCCCGAGTGCCCACTGCAGAGCAGGGGACAACTGGGGTGGTTCACCCTTTTGCAAAGGCTAACCGCGATCTTGCGCAACAGTCATGGCATCGCAATGACGACATGAACTGGCGGCGAGCAGCGCATTAACATGCTGGACCCCCAGACATGTAACGCAGTGCCCGCGCCCATCATCCGAGGACAGGAAACCACCGCATCCAGAAACGCACAGTCGGAGCGCCGTCCTGATAAGGACGTGCTGCACGACTGTGTTGCTCTTTCTGTGAAGTTTGCAACTTTATACGCACCGCTCTGGAGGACCGGACCCAAAGAACGCCAGGCAAGGGAGAAACCCAGCTCGACCGTCTGCCACTGCGTGTACACACTCTGGACCGGGAGAATGCTCTCGTTCGCTCAGAATCGCTGGTCACAGCAGGAGGAACCCTCATCGACTCGATCAGAAAGTCTCTGAAGCGAAAAGGATAGCGTCTGCTGGCGCCAGGTGAGCTTATATACTCAGTTGATTGCTTATGCCGCTCACCTGCGCAGGCTTGCGCTGCCAATTCATTCTTAATTGGCCCGTTCAATACTCTTTCAGACGAGTAGCTTCTGAACCGAACCTCCCAATGCGTGGATTTTACAAATCAAATCCACTTATAGTGCTGAAGTTCCCCCCGAAGGGGAACTGATGTTCACAAGAGATGTCATGCCATTGTCTCTGAACATTCTGAGTGATCACTGTACAGTTTTCAATTCCTCCTCTATTATCAGGTTGATTGTTATCCCAGTATCTGAATGAGGAGCTGCTCTGATCTGACCACTGCCATGAGTCTCTGAACAGACCGATCCAGACTGTAGATCCAGATGATTTTCTGTCATTAATGAACTTCTCCAGCTGTTGATTCTCATTCTGGTTCCTCACACTGACCAGATCAATGTGATTCTGTCTGCAGTAACTCTGAGCATCTCTCCAGTTCATTGTCTGTTTGACAAACACCAGTCCTCTGCTGGCTTAAAGAAATAAAAAAAATAATAATAAAAAATTTTATTTTATCAATTTTCCTATTTTGCTTTGTGGTTTTGGTGTAAAATATTAAGTATAGCCTGTGTTACAGAAGAGTTGAGTAATTATGAACACTTGGGTTATGGAAATTGCTATGATTACTGTTTTAGGTCAAACCATGGTCAGTAAGATTACAATTTAACATCTCATTTTCTATTTGCATTACTATTAATAGGTTTGTTAGAAATTTTTCACTACATTACAAAGTAGAATTGACTTGCTTGACTTTTGATTTGCAGTGCACATTTTAGCATTTTACTATTTTTACATTTAAGTGTCTGTTTGAAGCATCTTTTGTTTAATGAATGTTTGTCACGGCAGGGGTCTGTACTTACTGTTGAAGCAGATGAAGAATGAGGTGTTACTACATGGCACAACAAACCACTGTCCATTTCTCATCATAGTACAATTATCACTGTCAGCTGGTTCTCCAAAATACCAGTTCATAAAGAGCACAGGATCACCTGAAGACCAATGCCATTTATAAACACTCGTCTTCTGAAGACCAATCCAGATATACTCATCATTTACAGCATTCACAATCTTCTTCAGCTGGATCATGTCATTCATGTTGTCAACAGTGGCCAGATCTGTGTATTTCTCTCTGCAGTATCTCTGAGCTTCAGTCCAGTTCTTGTTCTCATTTATAAAGTGATACTGACGCTGAACACATTCAGATATGGAGCAGAGAGCTGTGAAAGAGACACTTTGCTTTAATGCTTTTCAGAACAGAGTCAAACCTAATGAAACTATAAACTATAAATAAATCTACAAACACACTCACCAATGAGGAGAAGAGGGGAATATAGAGTTTGAGCCATTTCTGAGAAAGAAACATATTGAATAACTCAAATAATTAAATATCTATCAACAGTATCACAGAATTACAATGATAAAGAAAATATTGGTAAAAGACTGTAGATGTGTGTTCTTACCTCAGAGCTGGTGTGTTTCTGTCCTCAGTCTGATGTTTCTGTCTGCAGATTCAGACTGTGATTATTCTAGTATTCAAACTCATAGTTTGTTTATTTTTCTAAAAACTCGTTTTACTTCCTCTTTGTGTGTTTTTACTCCACCATTTTCCCTTATTTGCATCATGACATTTCATCGTAAACATGAATGATTAAATTAATTAATAAAAGAGGCTACATTTTAACCTGGGTCTTGTGTCAGAGTTTATTTATGTTTTATTGTTGTGTTCATCAGGTATGACTATGTACAACTATACCTTAATCAGCCGAAGGTAAACCATAAAGCCCATGTGAATACATTGATAAACACGGCTGTCTAAACCCGGAGCTGATGCAAATTAGGCTGAATCCAATACCTTGACAGCAACATTAGTTTATTGTGTTGACCCCTGGTCAGACTGATTTGGTTTTGTCCAGCCACTGCAACCCCATCTGTTTTGAAAAGTAATATGGTGCAGGCTCCAGGTACTTCTATCAAACCTTAAAGGGTCACGAAACAACAAAACACATTTTTTGAGCTGTTGACAGTCGTATATGTGTCCCACACTGCTAAAAACACTATTAGGACACCTATATTTCACTAAAAAGTGTAAATTGGTTGTTTTTGCGTTATTTCAAGCAAATTCGTACTTCAGGTTTGAAACAAATTTGTGAAGCTGCGTCACGGTCATGACATAACAGCGTTGTATTCCAGCGTGCAGACTGGGCGTCTGTGCCAGAGTAAGTCTTATTACGTCTTACAGTGTGCTGCATTAATGCATGAGTAAGGCTTGGTTCAAACCAATCAGCGCGCTCTATTGTGCACCTTCATTAATATTCATTACTATCACCGTGTTTTCAGTACAGAGACGCCACAAGTGTGAAGTGTTGCTTTTATAGTTTGCTGCAGTTAAGTTTTGTTTTCATTTTCTCTCTGTGAGAGCTCAGCTGGCGTCACGTGTGGATTAACAGTGTACGCGACGCTCGACAACAATAACTTACGTGTCTAAGGAGGAACATTGTTTACCTGAGAGCTGTTCTCATCTGCAAACGCTGAGATCCGGATTCACTTGTAGTATTCTCTTCATAAAGACGCGGCTCTAGTTGCTGGTGATTGTCCTGTCTCTACAGATTTGGTAAGTGAGCGACCAGTGCTCTTTGTTTATTCAGTTTGTTCGTATCGAACTAACTATTGCACCGAGTGTAAACATGTTAGCACCACAACCAAACTTTACCCTCGTGTAGGGTTTTCACCGCATTTAGTGACCGGAATAACACACGCGGCTTTCTGACGCTACCTGCCGTGTGCATCTAAGTTTCTGGGAAATGCGGAGGTTTTTTTTTTCTCTCATTCGCCGTGCGGTATAAAACATTGCATGAAAAATACACGCTTAGAGCAGATCCTCGAGTCAAATATCTCGTTTGTCGCGAGGGGCATGAATGAATTTCCTGAATGAAAGAGCCAAACTGCAGTTAAAGTCCACCATTTAATAATTTGGCAAATAATTTGACTACAGATGTCCATGTAGGTTAAACACCATCACTTTCTCCTGTATGTGTGTGTGTGTGTGTGTGTGTGTCCGTGTGTGTATGTGTATTTTGACTCTGAAACTCGCGCGCGCCCAAATAGACACTCCCACACCCTCCCACCTTTGTTCATCCGACATGCCCACTTTTCTGACTTTTTCCAAAGTAGAGGTGTGAAAACACCCTGCTGAAACGAGGGGGTTTCATGGCCCTTTAAACACTGACTACTGCATATTGCATACTGCATGTCACTTTAAAGATGACACTACTGACACATTCTTTAAGTGCTTGAACAAGCTTGATCACAAAACTGATGGTAGCAAAATCTAAATAAATTATAATGCATGAAATCTGTGTGGGATGGGGAGAAAACATGCACGGCTCACTCTAAAAAAAGTCCATTTGAAAGACCTGCTGGTTCTATCAAGAGAACAGAAAAGTTTAAAAGATGTGTATCAGAGCTGCCATAATAATAATCCTTCATGAAAAAACTGGAAACATCCTGGTCTGATGTTTAATGATAATTTGAGTTTTCTTTCCTCTTCTGTTGTTTCCTGTTGCTTTCTTCTCATGACGTTAATGAAGAACAATGTGCTTCTGTGTCAAACCCTACAACAGATCGTTAACCTTACACATGAAGAATTATTACCTTCTTTGTATTTAGATCATGATTAAAACATTTAGGGGTTCAAACAGCAAAGTATCGCATGTCAAGTTTGTTTAGATTCTTATTGCTATATAAACATGTCTAATCATCAGGGACCAGTGTTGCCAGACGTATGACAATTATCATATTTGTACGATAATTTCGACCCTTGTACAATCAATAATGAGAAAAATCCTATAATGTATGATAATTTCAGAATTGTATGGCCTTTTAAAGTGATTTCATTGTAATATTTGGGCTTCTTTACTCATTGATCTAGCTGCATCATCTTCTGTACTGTCTGTGAGTAGAAAGTGGAGTTTGGCACGTTTTCTATCTCATCTTATGTTACCTCTTCTCAGCCAATCAACGTGGAGAATGGCTCACGAGTTAATGCTGCTGCTGCACATGCCCATGGTTAGGTCAGTAGTTTTCAGTTTGAGGTTAATCTCTTAAGCAATAATGTTAAAACAGTTAGTGCTGTAAAGGAAGGTGAGAAGGACAGGGGAGTTTTCTCTTGATGTTCTTATTTTTCCCCATTAGAATGCATCATGTGAACGTGATTTTTCCAATGTTAATCTCATCAAAACAAAGCATGCACACCTAAGAGTGTGTTAAAAATTGCACTGCTGAGGGTGCACTGCTTTCAAGCTACTATCAATTTGTAGAGCAAAACAAATCCCTCAACATCTGGCAACATGCAACGTTCGATGACAGCAACTCAGAGGTGAAGTTTGAACCTTCCCACTAAGATATGACTAGTTTTTTTTTTAACATATTGTGCTAATTTGCACGTTGTGTCAAAACGCTGTGTGTCTGGATAATTGCTGTATGCTCTGTTTGACTCATGTACAATAATTTCCCTCCAAATATGATAATTTTGAGGTTCTGGTATGATACTTTGACATTTCCAATCTGGCAACACTGTCAGGGACATTAAAGCAGATTTAGGCCTGAGCGACTGTAGGTCACACTATAGTTGTCACTGTCTAGTAAAGGAGGTCGAGCCTTCTCATTTATGGCTCCTACACTATGCCCGAGGCTCAGACACACTCTGTCAGTTCAAAACTAGATTAAAGACCTATTTTTTTAGTAAAACATACAAACAATGCATCACATAACAGTATGATGCACGTGTGCTCCATGCAGGTGAGTGGGCTTGACAAACCACCTGTAGGACACACTTCTCCTGTCTTAATGCACCAGACATGTTAGAAATAATCATGTGTTTTTCATGGTTATTTATATAACTGCTATTTTCATTTATAGCACTTCAGTTTTGCCTTGATTTTAATAATTTATTCCTTACATACACTTTGAACAGCAGCTAATTGTATTCTTTCCTTCCTATTTCCACCTGGAGATACTCATACAAGGCATCTAGAGATTGTGAACTGTGAAGAGATGATCGCAACTAAAGAGAACTTCTAAAAGTATCCATGATCCTGGATCAGGCCGTATCCTGAGCTGATGCTGTAGTGGTCATGAAATATATCTTACTTCCTTTTTCTAAATGCTACCTCCCGTTGACCTGTCTTACCCTGAAATGTGATGTTTGTGTACGGTCGTGGGGGGGCCAATTTCACAACATGACAGTGTATGTGACTACATGGAAGTGTATGGGACACATAAAGGCCTTTGATTGATTGATTGATTGATTGATTGGAAGTTATTCTACTGTTGAGACTCCTGATAAAGCAGGGACTAACCTGAAGGACAGAGAGTGATTAAACACTTTTTATTGTTAAAATAATGATAAAATACAGAGACGTACTCCAGCATATATAGGTCCTTAAAGCACATGCAAGGAATGTAAAAAAACTCATGATATACTCTTCAACTACATGAATGAATATAATTACTGATGGAAGCAAATGACCTCATGATAAAACTAAAAGAAAACAATACAAAGATATCTCTAATGAAGTTACTAACAAGAAACACGTTGAAAGAGTTTATAAACACAATGCAATCAGTCATTCTGACAAGTGAGGATTACAATATAAAGAGATCCCATTGATTCATTTTACAGATACGTAAAAACCTGGAGGAAGAGACTCGAGGAAAAATAGTAACTTCAGTGGGTCAATCAATTATTAAAGAGTACATTTTACCAAAATGTGAACAGAGAATTTACGCAACCTATGGTCAATTGTTATATTTAATTTTATACGCAAAAGTATTTCTGTTTTTTATACAAACTGATGAATAAAGAGAAAAGTGAATGGAAGTGATTACACATTTGTTCTTATATGCCCATTCACCCATATCTGCTGCAGATGAAGTTGAGTCTGTCAGTTTCAGGACGGCTGATCCAGGTCTGACTTCCTCCAGACTGAACTGCTCCAGATCTCACTGTGGGCTCACAGTCCTCCTCTGATGTGCCGTTCCCTGGAGCCCAGTTCTGATAAAACACGGTCTCTCCACTCACCCAGTACCAGATGCCCAAAATGTGGGAGAAACGCAAACCCAACCACACCGCCTCAGTAGACGCCAGTTTAACCACGTTCATCACACGACGCTGCATCTCCACTGACTGAACCGAGACCAGATCCACATGATTCTGTCTGCAGTATCTCAGAGCTTCAGACCACGACAGATTCTGCTGGATCACAATCAGTTTATCTGGACACAAAACAAAGCAGAAACTAGAGAAAGACTGATCAACAACAACATGCAGAACAAACACTGGAGGAATTTGTCATGTCAGACATGTAGAGTCAACTTTAACACTTTCCCTGCCATTGACATGAAAACTTGTTAATTAAGAGACAACACTTCCCTGCTATTGACAAGTTTTTATGGCAAACCAAGTTTTATTAATATTAAGTTAAGGGAAGCCCTAATGCAGTTCTTTTTGACTAAACCTACCTACATTCAATTGGGGGAAAAAACAAATCCATGAATATAATTTTTTTAGTACTTTATTGTTATATATAATATGATCATTTATTCCTATAAGAAAACTTCCTTAGGGTCATCAAATTCAGGTAAAAATCATTATAAATGCTGCAAATCTTTTTAAAAACACTGGCATGGAAATTGTTAAAGGTGCAGTAGGTGATTGTCTTCAGAAACATGTTGTTGTTGTGCGGGTTGAAAGTCTCTTCACTTTCCAATAGTAATGATTAAAGTAAATGATCTAAATGTGTTTATATGTATTTTTATTTTCTGGATGAGGCATAAAACAAAAAAAAATGTTCATCCAGTTAAATATTGTTGGGCCGACATCACTTATAATTATGTTAGGTAGGCCAAACTGTCAACAAATGTAGATTTGAATATCTGCAGCCGTTTACACACATCCGCCATCAAGGCAAGCATGCAAATTCACCTGCACATGAGAGACAGAGCAAAATGATGGAGGAAGGACAACATTATGGCTGAAGTAGGTCATGTTCTGTTTTAAAACTATTTTAGTCACGCAGAACTAATGTAGAGTGTGCAGTTATGATTGGGTTGTACACACAGAAGTGTTGTATAACCCAATCTTCCGGCGAAAGATTAATGTGATTATTTTCAATTTCATAAGGGCCTTTTACAGCATCGATAAATGTACATTTTTATTTAGTTTAACAACAAAACATCAGTAGCTCTATTCTGCCTAGTCTGCTTTACTGAGGTGAAGTAGGTTTTATATACATTGGTTCAGTTTTGAACAATCACAGCCTGTGTTGTGCTTGCTGTATTGTTTACCGTGCTACTCTAAATATTCGGTCAGAAATAGCATGTAAGTATGGCTTAGTAATAAGTGTAATTCCTGCACGCCGCCGGCCAAGCACTAAGCAGAGTTACTATAGGACACCATGCGAGAGAGGGTTGTAATCTTTAGGGTGTACGCGCTCCTTTTTCAAGAGCCCTGGCTTTTGCAGGGGAGGGACTGTGTTTCAAAGATATCATGCAAACTGGTTAGCATTGTGGCAATCACCTACTGCACCTTTAAGAGATCTGGAGCTGATGATGGATTGAGTGTGTTTGGAGGATCTGCTCACCTTCATGACATACAAAAGGAAACTGATGATCACAAGAGATGTCATTCCATCGTCCCTGAACGTTCTGAGTGATCACTGCACAGTTTTCAGTTCCTCCTTGATTATCAGGTTGATTGGTATCCCAGTATCTGAATGAATAGTTGCTCTGATCTGACCACTGCCAGTCTCTGAACAGACCGATCCAGACTGCAGATCCAGATGAGTTACTGTCATTAATGAACTTCTCCAGCTGTTGACTCTCATTCTGGTTCCTCACAGTGACCAGATCAGTGTGATTCTGTCTGCAGTAACTCTGAGCGTCTCTCCAGTTCATCATCTGATCGACAAACACCAGTCCTCTGCTCACTTGAATAAAAAAAATAATAATGATACCATGATTCAGCCCTTCTATGCTTAGGTTAAAATGTGAACAGGAACAGCAATGAAATCATCATGCATGTCTGTGTTACTAAAATATATATTATACACAGACACACACACACACACACACACACACACACACACACACACACACACACACACACACACACACACACAACAGAACATCTGTCATAAATAAATATATTGTGCTATTAAAGATAACAAATAATTCAAAAGGAGTAGCTGGTTTTATATAATGAAAAATACAAAGTGGATTTGACTTGTAATTGCATTTACACTTAATTTACACAAGTTTTACAGTCATATTTATATCCTAATAAACCTTTGTTAAATGACAGTTTTTTTATAAGCGTTTGTACTCACTGTTGTAGCATATGAAGAACAAGGTGTTACTACATGCTCCATCATGCCACTCTCCATTTATCATAAAAGCACACTCATCTTTGCCATCTGGTTGCCTATATGCCCAATTCAAAAAGAGTGCAGGATCACCTGAAGACCACTGCCATTTCCTCTGCAGACCAATCCAGATACGTTCATCATTCACACTCTTCATCAGCTGAATCGTGTCATTCATGTTGTCAACAGTGGCCAGATCTGTGTATTTCTCTCTGCAGTATCTCTGAGCTTCAGTCCAGGTCTTCTTCTCATGTATAAAGTGATACTGACGCTGAACACATTCAGATATGGAGCAGAGAGCTGTGAAAGAGACACTTTGCTTTAATGCTTTTCAGAACAGAGTCAAACCTAATGAAACTATAAACCATAAATAAAACCACAAACACACTCACCAATGAGGAGAAGAGGGAAATATAGAGTCTGAGCCATTTCTGAAGAAGAAACACAATGAATAGCTCAAATACTTCACTTTTATCTAATAATACAGCATCACAAAATTACAATAATAAGAAAATATTGGTTAAAGACAGTAGATTTGTGTTCTTACCTCAGAGCTGGTGTGTTTCTGTCCTTAGTCTGATGTTTCTGTCTGCAGATTCAGACTGTGATTATTCTAGTCACTTTTCATAATTTGTTTATTTTTTTTAAAAACCTGTTTTACTTCCTCTATGTGTGTTTTTACTCCACCATTTTCCCTTATTTGCATCATGACATTTGCGTCAGTCAGAATCTGTAAACTTGAATGATTAAATTAATTAATTAAAAAAACTAAATTTTAATCTGGGGCTTGTTTCAGAGTTTTTTTTTTTTTTAAATTCTGGAGGTAAACCATAAAGCCTAAGTGATTATATTGATAAACATGGCTGTCTAAACCCAGAGCTGATACAAATTGAGCTGAATCCAATACTTGACAGCAACACTACTTCCACTGTGTTGGCCCCTGGTTCTTGGGGACCCCTGATTGACTTGGTTTTGCCCAGTAACTGTAACCCCACTTATTTTGACAAGTAATATGGTACAGGCTTCAGGTACTTCTATTAAACCTCAAACACTGACTACTGTATATTGGATACTGCATGTCACTTAAAAGGTGACACTACTGAGACATTCTTCAAGTGCTTAAACAAGCTTGATTACAAAACTGATGTCAGTAAAATCAAAATAAAATATAATGCGAGAAATCTGTGTGGGATGAGAAAAAAACATGCACAGCTTTGCCAAAAAAAAAAAAAAAGTTCATCTAAAAGACCTGCTGGTTCTATCAAGAGAACAGAAAAGATCAAAAGATGTGTATCAGAGCTGCCATAATAATAATCCTTCATGAAGACACTGGAAACATCCTGGTCTGATGTTCAATGATAATTTGTGTTTATCTTTCCTCTTCTGTTGTTTCCTGTTGCTGTTTTCTCAACGCGTCAGTGAACAACAGTGTGTTTCTGTGTCAAACCCTACAACAGATCGTTAACCTTACACATGAATAATTATTATCTTCGTGAAGTTTATTCATAAACTAATTTCGAGAGGATCACATGCTTATGATTGACATGGCTGGCCCTGAGTCAAGCTAATGTACGAACCACCAATCAGACTATTCCAAACCAAGTATAAATAACCAAACACCTTACCTTAGTCATCTTCGTCTTGAAGAATCCCCCCTTCCAGCCCTTCTCCTCCTCTTTGTCTACAGGGCAGCACGGCAGCCCAGTGGCTAGCACTGCGGCCTCACAGCAAAGTGCCTCCGGTTCGGGCCTCTACCCAAACGGACAGCATTTTCGTGTGGAGTTCATGTTCTCCCCGTGCTTGCATGGGTTTTCTCAGGGTCCTCCGGTTTCCTCCCACACTCCCAAAAACATGACACTTAAGTAAATTGACTAAACCAAATTAGCACCAAATTCGATTCAATTCTGTCAGCAACGCATCACCTTAGCAACCCTCACGCAGCAGAAGGGGGAGGGTTCTCGAGATCTACCCAAGCTCAAACTCCCCTCTCGCCCTGCAACGGGAGGGAGCCCTGGGCTCGAGGCTCTCATGAGTTCAGCGCTTTCTCCCGGGACAGCATGCCAAACTAGCTTATTACCAATCATCAGCTAAGTGTGAACTCTTGAATTTGTATTTAGATCATGGTTAATACATTTAGGGGTTTAAACAGCATCAGGGACCAGTGTTGCCAGACGTACGGTAATTATCTCTCTCTCACGAGTTAACGCTCCTGCTTTGCGTGCCCATGGTTAGGTCAGTAGTTTGAGGTTTTAGGTTGATCTTTTAAGCAATAATGTTAAAACAATTAGTGCTGTAAAAGAAGGCGAGAAGCATGCATGCACACCTCAGAGTGTGTTAAAATTGCACTGCTGAGGGCGCACTGCTTTCAAGCCAACCAGCACTATTTTGCAGTCCATAACGGCATAAAATTTGTACAGCAAAATGAATCCCTCAACATATGGCAACATGCAACGTTTGATGACATCTACTCAGAGGTGAAGTTTGAACCTTCCCATTAAGATATGCCTAGTTTTTAATGTATTGTGCTAATTTGGACGTTGTGTCGAAATGCTGTGTGTCTGGATAATTGTTGTATGCTCTCTGTTTGATTTGTGTACAATAATTTCCCTCCAAATACAATAATTTTGAGGTTCTGGTACGATACTTTGACGTTTCCAATCTGGCAACACTGTCAAGGACATTAAAGCAGATTTAGGCCTGAGGGACTGTAGGTTACACTATAATTGTCACTGACTACTAAAGGAGGTTGAGCCTTCTCATGTATGGCTCCTACACTATGTCCAAGGCTCAGACACACTCTGTCAGTTCAAAACTAGATTAAAGGGCCATGAAACCCCCTCGTTTCAGCAGGGTGTTTTTACACCTCTACTTTGGAAAAAGTCAGAAAAGTGGGCGTGTCCAGCTCTGTTTAGGGGGGAGCGTCGGAGGAAGAAAAGAGGCATGGTGTGGGAGTGTCTATTTGGGTGCGCTGAGTTTCAGAGTCAAAATACACACACACAGGGGACAAAGTGACTGTGTTTACATGGACATCTATAGTCGAATTATTTGCCAAATTATTAAATGGTGGACTTTACTTGCAGTTTGGCTCTTTTATTCTGGAAATTCACAAACGAGATATTTGATTCGAGGAACTGCTCTAAGCGTGTATTTTTCATGCAATGTTTGATACCGCACGGCAAATGAGAGAAAAAAAAAACCTCAGCATTTCCCGGAAACTTAGATGCACTCGGCAGGTAGTGTCAGAAAGCCGCGTGTGTTATTCCGGTCTCAAAATGCGGGGAAAATCCTACACGAGGTTAAAGTTTGGTTGTGGTGCTAACATGTTTACATAGTTAATAGTTTGTTCGATACGAACAAACTGAATAAACAAAGAGCACTGGTCGCTCACTTACCGAATCTGTAGAGACAGGACAATCACCAGCAACTAGAGCCGCGTCTTTATTAAGAGGAGACTACAAGCGAATCCGGATCTCAGCATTTGCAGATGAGAACAGCTCTCAGGTAAACAATAATCCACGTTAGACATGCAAGTTATTGTTGTCGAGCGTCGCGTACACTGTTAATCCACACGTGAGTCTGAGCTCTCACAGAGAGAAAATGAAAACAAAACTTAACTGCAGCAAACTATAAAAGCAACACTTCACGCTTGTTTTGCCAACACAACGTGGCGTCTCTGTCGTCTAAACACTGTGACAGTAATGAATATTAATGAAGTTGCACAATAGAGCGCGCTGATTGGTTTGAACCAAGCTTTACTCATGCATTAATGCATCACACTGTAAGACGTAATAAGACTCCCTCTGGCACAGACGCCCAGTCTGCACGCTGGAATACACGCTAATATGTCATGACCGTGACGCAGCTTCAAAAATTCGTTTCAAACCGGAAGTACGAATTTGCTTGAAATAACGCAAAAACAACCAATTTACACTTTTTAGTGAAATATAGGTGTCCTAATAGTGTTTTTAGCAGCGTGGGACACATATACGACTGTCAACAGCTCAAACACATGTGTTTTGGTATTTCGTGACCCTTTAAAGACCTATCTTTTAAGTAAAACATACACACAATGCATCACATAACAGTATGATGCACGTGTGCTCCATGCAGGTGAGTGGGCTTGACCAACCACCTTTATGACGCACTTCACCTATGTTTATTCATATAACTGCTATTTTTATTTATAGCACTTCATTTTTGCCTTGATATTTAATGTCTCTTCATTAAATACGCTACAAATAGCAGCTACACTATTTGTTTTCTTTGCTTCCTATTTCCATCTGGAGATACTTATCCCGAGGCATCTAGAGATTGTGACCAGTGAAGAGATGATCGCAACTATAGAGGACTTCTAGAAGAATCTATAATCCTGGACCAGGCCGTTTCCTGAGCTGATGCTGTGGCAGTCATGAAGGAATGGAGAGCATGAGACTAATTCCTGAAAGACCCCAGTGACAAACGAGTCTCCGCATTGATCCCATGGGCCAGCTACGTGATCACACCTGCAGTTCTCCACGATGGACGTCCAGTGTTCTTCGGCCTCCAGCATCTAGACTGCATCTCGGCATAAGTAGTTTTCCCAGAGGAGAAATGGTCATGCCCAACAGAGCCTGTTTTCTCACTAGGTTTTTTATTTTCTCCACTTTCATCAATTGGTGAAGTTTTGTTCCTGTACACTGGTTTGTTTGGTTTGAGACTTGATGACAATGATGTTTGGCTTTCAGGAGTGAAAATTAAACCACACTGAATTGAACTGAACTAAACTAAACCAAACCTCAACTCTGAAAACTGAACTGACACAGTTTCAATTTACTAGAACTTCTATGTTTAGCTGCTTTAGGTCTAACCAGCAGTTTAGGTCTAACCAGCAGTGCAATAGCAGCAAGAGCAGGATACAGGAGTAAGTTATAAAGTGCAGTTATAGAAAACTATGGTGATATTTACAGATGGATGTACTATCAACATTATATACAGGTTGGATAAGCTATGAACAGATTTACAATATATGACTATATGTTCAGGTTGCTAATAATAATCAGTAGTGTGCAGGTAAATAAACATGATTACAAGTGTATATGTTACAATATATGAATATATGTGCAGGTTGCTATTAATAATCAGTAGTGTGCAGGTAAATAAACATGATTACAAGTGTATATGTTACAATATATGAATATATGTGCAGGTTGCTATTAATAATCAGTAGTATGCAGATAAATAAGCATGATTACAAGTGTATATGTATAGTGGGTGTGTACATAATTACAAATGTCCATATGCAGTGGGTATGTACTGTTCAATAAGTAAACAGTTCAATGTGGTGCAGTGAATGTGCAAATTTTAAATGTGCAAATGTTAAACAGTGCAGTGATTGCGAGGAGTGTATGTTAGAGGAGAGTGGGGGGTGTATTGGGGGGGCAAAAGAGTCAGTGGGGGGCAGAGTTCAGGAGGGAGACAGCTCTGGGGAAAAAGCTGTTTCTCAGTCTGCTTGTTTTTGTCCGGGGGAGCCTGAAGCGCCTGCCGGAGGGCAGGAGAGAAAACTGTCTGTGAGCAGGGTGAAAGGTGTCCTTCAGAATACTGCGTGCTCGGCGCAGACAGTGTTTCTTCTGGATGTCCTCTATGGCTGGCAGTGTGGTCCCTGTGATGCGTTGGGCAGTTTTCAGCTGCAGTGCCTTACGCTCAGCAACAGAGCAGCTTCCATACCAGACTGTGACACAGTTTGTCAGGATGCTCTCTATTGTGCAGCGGTAGAAGTTCACCAAGACGGCTGATGAAAGCTGGTTCTTCTTCAGTTGCCTTAAGAAGAATAGGCGCTGGTGAGCCTTCTTGATCAGGCTGGAGGTGTTGGTGGTCCAGGAAAGGTCCTTTGAGATGTGGGTCCCCAGGAACTTAAAGGATGAGACAGGCTCAACGGCCATCCCATTGATGTGGATGGGATCATGTGAGCCTGTTCGTCCCTTTCTGAAGTCCACAATGAGCTCCTTGATCTTGTTGGTGTTAAGGAGCAGATTATTGTCGGTGCACCAAGTGGCCAGATGCTGGGTTGCACGGTTGTCGTACAGCAAGATGGTCACTGGTTTGAGTCCCGACTGGACCAGGAAGTTTTTCTGTGTAGAGTTTGCATGTTCCATCTATGTACATGGAGGTTTCCATGGGATGTGTCGATTTGGCCCACAGTCCAAAGACATACAGTGTATGTGACTTAAACTAAACTAACCGTAGTGTATGAGTGTGTTAAAATGAGAGTGTCTGGTTTCCCAGCACTGGGTGTTCACGAGTAAGCATACTTTCAGTGCTGGGTTGCAGCAGGAAAGGCATCCATCTGTTGAGCATGTTAGTAATTCTTCTTTGGCTCTCAGCAAAGGTGATCACCCTTTTTTCCCCTCCGTCCCATATCTTTCCTGGCTGGCTCCTCTTGTCTCGTCTTATTCTATCTCTGAGGCTCTCCATGCTCTGTGTCCAAACGAATAAGGGACTATGGATTTATTTAACTAGTCTCTAAACTCAATTGACACCATCTTCTCAACAAGAAGTTTGGGCTTGGGAGAGCCTACTTGTCCTGCCGGTACGCTTGCAGCTGAATACATGATGGACGAGTGGGAGAAATGGTGCGCCGTGTGCCTGGCTGCTCTGTCCTTGGAGGATATTGAATATATCTATTCAGATCTTTGATTACAGGGTTTCTGCTGATGGGCTTATAAAGAGCCCTGGGGTATTGACGATTGATGAAAGTGGTCAGTGCTGCTACCACCAAGCTGGCCGGCTTGATTGAAATGGTGGCGAGCAGGGTCGCTACTTGGAAAACATTGAGGTGAAACTAGCGGCTTTGCAACAAGATTTGGCCAGACCTGGAGACCAGTGACGGACATTAAATATATTTAAAATTGGAAGATATAACCTAAATTTGAAAAAAAATATTTCTTCTCTTTAGGTTTCTCTGTGACTCTCCTGCCAGACGGCCTCTACTGGAGACAAACAATTTCTTCCAGAGAGCAAGATAAGGAGATGCTCTAAAATTCCTGCTTCCTGTCAAGGACACCTGTTGGATTCTACAGGCTTACACACACACACACATATGTAACAGGTATTAAATGTATGTTTTCGTTATAAATTCGCGCAAAATTTTTGTTTTGTTAGTCATTAATATGTAAGAAATAAAGAGAAAATGTTTTATTTTTGTTTTGACGCGTCGGCGCGATGACGTCATTGACGTGCGTTGCCGCGGTGACGTCAGTGACATAGCGCGCACTTTGCTTCAGTCTGTCGGAGGACAGAGCAGAGCGAGGTAGGCATTTACTCCTGTCCTGTGGAAAAATGTGTATGAAGTACAAAAATTTGTAATTAAGATAAACAGTAGCAGGCGTAAGAGGAGTTTTAAGAGAAGACTAACTGCATGTTCTCTGTTTGTGCAGCACTTAAATAAATGACCGCTGAACCTGCAGACAGACTCCAGCTCTTTACTTTACACAACACAACACAATGCAGAGGGGTAGTCGAGCCGTTAAGACCGGCCCCAGCTACACATACACAGCTACAGATAGACAATCACTACCTAGCCCCTCATCCCATGCCTTTGTGTGCTTTCACCCACTGGACGAGGTAGACCAGCTCTCTTCAACTGCAGGACCAGATGGCTGCCTGCTCTAATCAGACTATATCCTTATCCCCTGTTTTGATGTTATGTCTATGTACTTGGCTGCTGGAGCTTTTTTCTCCCTGATCTCACACTGCCCTAATTCAAGGGCAAGGTGTGAGGGAGTTTTTTTTTTTTTTTGGCCTCTCATGAAATGTATCTTACTTCCTTTTTCTTAATGCTACCTCCCGTTGACCCTTCTTCCCCTGAAATGTGATGTTTGTGTATGGTCAGGGGGGTCCAATTTCACTACATGACAGTGTATGTGACTACATGGAAGTGTATGGGACACATAAAGGCCTTTGATTGATTGATTAATTGATTGGTTAACTGGAGGTTATTCTACTGTGGAGACTCCTGATAAAGCAGAGACTAATCTGAAGGACAGAGAGTGATTAAACACTTTTATCTGCTAAAATAAGGATAAAGTACATAGACGCATATATATGTCCTTAACGCACATGCAAGGAATGCAGAAAACTCATGATATACTCTTTAACTGCATGAATGCATATACTTATTGATGGAAGCAAATGACCTCATGATAAAACTAAAAGAAAACAATACAAAGATATCTCTAATGAAGTTACTAACAAGATACATGTTGAAAGAGTTTACAAACACAATGCAACCAGTCATTCTGACAAGTGAGGATAACAATATAAATCAAAACACAGACAGAGATCCCATTGATTCATTTTACAGATAGGTAAAAACCTGGAGGAAGAGACTCGAGGAAAAATAGTAACTTCAGTAGATCAATCAATTATTAAAGAATACATTTTACCAATATCTGAACAGACAATTTACGCCACCTATGGTCAATTGTTATATTTTATTTTATATGCAAAAGTATTTCTGTTTTTTATACAAACTAATTGCGTATACATTATAGAACGTATTATTTGTTCATTTATTTTATGTATATATAAATATTGTATATATACAGATTTATATATAGTGTTTTGTTTATGCATTTGGAGCTGATGTTGTGTTGCGGGCTGTGGAGCATGCGCAGGTCTCTCTCTCTCCCTTTAGAGCTGCGCTTGATTGCGGTCCAGCTGTGTTGCGAGTGGGAGCATATATAAGCTGGAGGAGTTTAACAAAGGAGGAATCTTTCTGCTCGGTGTAGGTCACAAATCTCCGTTGTCACTGTTGTTCCGAGCGTCTCCTATCTCCTGCCCCAGATAGTTGGTTGAATTAGTGGTGTGATAGATTGATTTCTTTAAATGACAATTTAATTCTTTTCTAAACGGCTTGCTTTTAGAAAAATATATATATTTATTTGGTTATAAATAGAAGCGATTGGTTGGAAATTGCCATTTACTTTAAAAAGTTTTTTTCCTGGTTTGTGGCAGCGAGGGGGAAAGGGAAGTTTGCTGTTATTTTATTTGGGGTTCTTTTAATTTGAGCAGGCAAGAATTATTTCCCCGCAAGTTAGCTGTCTTTTCATTATTATTTTGGCCTGGATTCCCTTCCGAAGAGATGCTTCTAATATCTTTGTTGTCTAAGAAAATAATAAACCTTGTTACTTCTTGATAAACGTTGTGATCATTGTGAGTTGAGACAGGAGAAGGGGAAAACCCTGAATTGAGTATTAAAGTTTAATTTATTAATTTATTTACACTCTTTTTATTGTCACCTTTAACTCTATACTGGTTGGGATGTAACATGATGAATAAAGATAAAAGTGAATGGAAGTGATTACACAATTGTTCTCATATGACCATTCACTCATATCTGCTGCAGATGAAGTTGAGTTTGTCAGTTTCAGGACGGCTGATCCAGGTCTGATTTCCTCCAGACTGAACTGCTCCAGATCTCACTGTGGGCTCACAGTCCTCCTCTGATGTGCCGTTCCCTGGAGCCCAGTTGCGATAGTACACGGTCTCTCCACTCACCCAGAACCAGATGCCCAAAATGTGGGAGAAACGCAAACCCAACCACACCGCCTCAGTAGACGCCAGTTTAACCACGTTCATCACCTCATACTGCATCTCCACTGACTGAACCGAGACCAGATCCACATGATGCTGTCTGCAGTATCTCAGAGCTTCAGACCACGACAGATTCTGCTGGATCACAATCAGTTTATCTGGACACAAAACAAAGCAGGAACTAGAGAGAGACTGATCAACAACAACATGCAGAACAAACACTGTGGAGGAATTTGACATGTCAGACATGTAGAGTCAACTTTAAGAGATCTGGAGCTGATGATGGATTGAGTGTGTTTGGAGGATCTGCTCACCTTCATGACACACGAAAGGAAACTGGCGGTCACAAGAGATGTCTGCCCAATGGCCCTGAGTGTTCTCCATTAGCACTGTACAGTTTTCATTCCCTCCAACATTATTTGGTTCCTGATTATTCCAGTAACTGAATGAATAGGTACTCTGATCTGACCACTGCCATGAGTCTCTGAACAGACCGATCCAGACTGCAGATCCAGATGAGTTTCTGTCATTAATGAAGTTCTCCAGCTGTTGATTCTCATTCTGGTTCCTCACACTGACCAGATCAATGTGATTCTGTCTGCAGTAACTCTGAGCGTCTCTCCAGTTCATCGTCTGATTGACAAACACCAGTCCTCTGCTCACTTGTATCAAAAAAACAAACAAATGAAACATTTATTCAGCTCTTCTATGCTTTATAGTTTCAATCTGAACAGGAACAGCAATAAAATCATGGTCATGTTACTAAAAGAATTGGTTGATATGTTCAGCAATATTTCTACAAGATCTTTATCTTGAAATTAGACATAATTACGTATCGCTCTTTATTTCATTTTATATATGCCAATAAGTCACATATATATATTTATATATATATATATATATATATATATATATATATATATATATATATATTAGCGCTGTCAAAATTAGTGCGTTAACGCATGCGATTAATTTTAAATAATTAACGCGTAAAAAAAAATTAACGCAGTTCAGGTTTTTTTTACTTCCTGTTGTGGTGGACGTGTGTTCAACATGCAATAAATGTGGATAAGACCAAGGAAGCACTTTTTGAAGGCAAGTTTCAGTATAAAACAATTAGTCACATCACCAGGCTCTCCGAAGATTCATGCAATTTCGGGTGTTTCATTTTTAACTTTAGACTTCTGCAGTAAGTTGATACCGCATGGCGAACAGAAAGAAAATCCTCTGCATTTCGTGACTCAGTGTTCCTTTAAGGTAATAAAATCACTGCTTAGGCTACACGGTAGAATTTTAATAAGAGTATTATCTTAATCATATTAAAATCGGAGTATTGGTGTCTTATGTAAATGTACTCAGAACGTCTGGTGAAGTCGCGAGCTGTCAAAGACAGGGCATTACACTGCCTTTCAGCATGAGCCCTCCAAGTTTAGCGTGTTTCCTCATTAAAGCGTTGTTGTGTCAGAATCCTTGTGAAATACAGTAATACTTTAGGACGCTTAGTTTAAGCAAATTTGATGAACGTGATCATGCGTGTTGAATCTAAGGGGAGTCGCTCCAGTATGGAAGGCCGTTTGGGCCAAAACGTCTGCAGCGCATTGTGTGTGTTTGTGTCAGGCCCGTTGAGGGGTGTCAGGGGTGGAGTGAGCAACGTATCTGAGTAGGGGCGTGTGCGCGCGAGATGCACCTGAAGGACAGTGGGGGTGAGTTGCGCGAGACATAGGCTACCTAAAGAGCTAGGAGGGATGCGGGGGAGAGGGGTGTGCAATGTATTTAACGACCGGTTTGCAAGAAATAATCATTCATTTGCAAGCATCCGGGAGTCTCTGTGCACTTGCGGGATACTCCTAGTCTTAGCAACTGGATGAATGTAAAGGAGGATTAAGCAAAATTGTTTCTACTCTATAACTAATGTTCTCAACTCACAGCAATAAAACTTTACAGTGAGTGCAACAGTTTGTATTCTATAGTTTATTATTATAATTTTTCATTTTCCATATCTGCAATATCTGTATTTTGGCATTTTTTTGCAGTCCACTTAGAATCCAACATGGAAATCAATGTTTTCTTTATTGGCATTGATTGTTTTGAAATTTAAATGTCATTAACATGCCTGTGTTTTAATTTCTGTAATAAATATGGCTGTCAAGCCAGGATCTTGATGGTTTATTGTGGGTGTGTTGTTTACATGAAGAAATCTGTGTTACAAGTTAAACAAAAATTCTATTAAACAATTATATTTTGAATTTTAATAGTTTTTGACTTGCGTTTACATTAATTTTACATTTAAATAGCCAAAATTACAAGTTTTAGTATTTTAAATGTGATTAATCGCGATTAATTTAAAAAAAAAAAGGTGCTATTAATTAGTTAATTTTTTAATCGATTGACAGCACTAATATATATATATATATATATATATATATATATATATATATATATATATATATATATGCAACATCTGACATAAATGTAAAAAAATTATATATTGTGCAATTAAAGATAACAAATATTTCAAAAGGAGTAGCTGGTTTTATATATTGAAAAATACAAAGTGGATTTGACTTTATTTTACACAAATTTTACATTCACATCTCCTGCGAAACTTTTGTTAAATGAAAGCGTTTTTAAAAGGCGTTTGTACTCACTGTTGTAGCATACAAAGATCCAGGTGTCACTACATTTCCCATCATGCCACACTCCATTTTTCATAAAAGCACACTCATCACTGCCATCTGGTTGATTATATCCCCAATTCAGAAAAAGTGCAGGACCACCTGAAGACCACTGCCATTTCCTCTGCAGACCAATCCAGAGACGTACATCATACACACTCTTCATCAGCTCAGTTGTGTCGTTCATGTTGTCAACAGTGGCCAGATCTGTGTATTTCTCTCTGCAGTATCTCTGAGCTTCAGTCCAGGTCTTCTTCTCATTTATAAAGTGATACTGACGCTGAACACATTCAGATATGGAGCAGAGAGCTGTGAAAGAGACACTTTGCTTTAATACTTTTCAGAATAGAGTCAAACCTAATGAAACTATAAACCATAAATAAAACTACAAACACACTCACCAATGAGGAGAAGAGGGAAATATAGAGATTGAGCCATTTCTGAGGAAGAAACACATTGAGATAAACAATAAGTCTAATATTCATCTCAGAGTAAAACAGCACAGCATGAACATAAAACAAATTCACAATCATTAATGTAACTGTTAAAAGTCTGAATATTTTGATTCAAGAATGAACATGTGTTCTTACTTCAGAGCTGGTGTGTTTCTGTCCTCGGCCTGATGTTTCTGTCTGCAGCTTTAGACTGTGAGATTATTTTAGATCTGCTGTAATCTATTATTCATCACGTCACATTATTTGCTTATTACCCTAAACAAAGGGCTTTTTCATTTTTCCCCACATTCAGCTGTATTTGCATATTGTTTCTGTACTTCATTGGAAGTATATTAATTTGAATGAAAGGACAGAAAGTCCAGTCTGTTTTCTAAAATTAAATGTTTAAGATAAGATCTGTTGTTTTTCATTACATGAATATTGCATTACCTTTTGTAAATGGTAAACAAATTTTTAAAAAGTAAACAAGTCAACCTACTCATATGGCATTTAAACAGGTGTCAAGTCTTTTTTTTATGAAATGGTAAAGCACTACACTCTACTGCAGATATATTTTAAGGCAATTCAGTTTAATCGGTTAAAAGCCATCTTGTACTGTAAAGGGCGATAATTTATATGATGATCAAATCCACATATTTAATGAAAAAATATTGACTGTTATCAGACTTCCAGCAGACCGAAGATACGGAAAGGAATTGGAAAGAGTAACCAGATCTCAAATATAATCCACAGCTACTGCTTTGTAGGTGAAAACCAGAATTTTACAATCAATACACGATTGAACCAGGAGCCAGTGAAGTTGCTGCATCACAGGGGTAATATGAAGACGTGAAGTCGTACGAGTCAAAACACGTGCAGCTGAGATTAGTAAGTATAAGTAACCTCCTTACTGAACTTGCTAATAAACCCTCAAATTGCAAAAATCAAGACATGATGTGATGAAGGACTGGGAAAGCCTTTCAGCATCAGGCCTGGAAAGTAGGGTAGGGTTAGGGTTAGGGTTAAAAGGGGGAATGGAGGAAACCCACTCCAACATGGGGAAAACATGCAAACTCCACACAGAAATGACAACTGGCCCAGCTGGGATTTGAATCAGGGACCTTCTTGCTATGAGGCGACAGTGCTAACCCACTGAGCCACTGTGTCACCTTTAAAGTAAATTCTAATAAATAAAATATTTCAAGAGTTCACACTTAGCTGATGATTTATAACAGCTTGTTTGGCATTCTGTCCCAGGAGAGAGCCCCGAGCTCAAGGGCTCATCGAGCCCGGGGCTTCCTCCCGTTGGCAGAGCAAAAGAGGAGCCTGAGCTCGGTGGATCTTAGAACTCCCCAAAATGCAGTAATTAATCGCTCGGGACAGCAGCCGCGTGTTTAAGGGAAAAACCCCCAAAAAGCAGGAGAATAGAGCTATGTCCGGCTGCTGGATATAATGGAAGGAAAGAGAGGTTCATGCAGGGGGCATTAAATAGGTAGGGTTACGAAGGGTAAAGACACTGGAGCTATAAGGGGGCTGGACTTTATGTGGTAAGATGGGTAAAAAAGGGGGCCTCCCTTCTAAAGAGGAGAATAGAGGTAAATAAAGTAGAGTGTAGAAGAGAGGATTCTGGGAACTCCTGCGGGAGTTGGAGCTCGAAAGGACCCCTGCGGGGGTTTGAGCTTGGGGGAGATGTCTAAACGGGGAGGAGAGGTAGTTGAAAGGAGTGGAGAGAATTCTGGGTAACTTCTGCGGGAGTTGGAGCTTAAAGGGACCCCTGCGGGGGTCAGAGCTTGGGGGTAGAGTCTAAACGGGAGAGGATAGATAGCAGAATGTAGAAGAGAGGATTCTGGGTAACTCTTGCGGGAGTTGGAGCTCGGAGCAACCCCTGCGGGTGTCAGAGCTTAGAGGGTGGTGTCTAAAAAGAAGAAGAGAGGTAGTTTGAAGTAGAGTGTAAAAGTGAAGATTCTGGATAACTCCTGCTGGAATTGGAGCTCGAGGGGACCCCTGCGGGGGTCAGAGCTTAGGGGTAGAGTGTAGATGGGAGAAGATAGGTAGCAGTATGTAGAAGAGAGGATTCTGGGTAACTCTTGCGAGAGTTGGGGCTCGGAGCGACCCCTACGGGGGTTAGAGCTTGGGGGTAGAGTGTAGATGGGAGAAGATAGGTAGCAGTGTGTAGAAGAGAGGATTCTGGGTAACATGCGAGAGTTGGGGCTCGAAGCAACCCCTGCGGGGGTCAGAGCTTGGGGGTAGAGTGTAGATGGGAAAAGATAGGTAGCAGTGTGTAGAAGAGAGGATTCTGGGTAACTCTTGCGAGAGTTGGGGCTCGGAGCGACCCCTGCGGGGGTCAGAGCTTAGAGGGTGATGTCAAAAAAGAAGAAGAGAGGTAGTTGAAAGTAGAGTGTAGAAGTTTAAGATTCTGGATTATTCCTGCTGGAATTGGAGCTTGAGGGGACCCCTGTGGGGGTCAGAGCTTGGAGGTACAGTCTAGGCGGGAGAAGATAGGTAGCAGCATGAAGAAGAAAGGACTCTGGCCAAGTCCTGCAAGAGTTGGAGATCGAGGGGGCCCCTGCGGGTGTCAGAGGTTGGAGGTGGAGTCTAGACAGGAGAAGAAGGATTGTTAGAGGTAGAGTGTAGAAGAATTAAGTTGGGAGTGGGGTGTAGAGAAGAAAAGGAACAAGAAGCTGAAAGCTAGGGTTATAAGGAAAAGTTTTGAAAGGTTGGAAGAAGGGAACAAGCACAAATATTATACATACGTACAAACACAACACATGCGCAGAGAACATATGGATACAAACGTTAACATCTGTAAATAACTCTTGCGGAAGATGCTAACTGCAACGGCCCTTGTGGTAGTCTGTTGGCAAACATGTAAGGGTGCCATGGGGTGGACAAATGGGCTTCTACAGGGTTTTGATTTGGATGACTCTTGCGAGAGTCGAGGCTCTGTTAGACACCTTTGGGGGTCGGAGCTGTGTGAGGAGGGGCTTGGGGGTTGGATAAAGCCTGTTGGGCTTTCTTGAGGTGGTATTTACTGAGGCGAATGTAAGATTTGAAAGCTTCAGAAGACCAGCGACCAAGGGTCTGGATCTGATAGTGGGAGAGCCTGTTACAGGCTGCTGTAGTGGCTGCGCCAATCCTTAATGAGTGGCAGGAGAAAGGGGCTCTGGGGGAAAGCCTGATAGGCAAAGGATTTCTTTAAGGTGTTTTTGGAACCAGAATCGAGATACTGGACGGTTAGCGTCATCAGTAAAAAGCGGGGCTAGTGGGTTAGCCTCTTGAGATCTTCTTGGTTAAGGTAGGCTAGGAGGGTTTGAAACGGGCGGGTAGGTGAAGGTATATTGAAAATAAGGGTAGAGTGTATTTTCTGGAATTGATCTGTTTTGCTTTGTTTGATAAGGAAAGAGATTGTTTGCCTGTCTTGCAAAGCTAGATCTGAGATAGTGGGCTGGAGTAGAGGGTTAAATTTGGATGTAACTGTTAATTCAGAACATCTAAGGAACCCAAAAATGCTAGATTGAACATTGCATCTAAGGTGCGGGCTGTATGGGAGGAAATGTAACCTTTACGGAGGGTGTAGATGCATGAGGTAAGGATTTTGAGTGTAATGGGTTGTCTAGCATGGTATGGAATTGTTTGAATGAATTCCATGCTGTGAGGTATGCATTGAGGGTTCTGGGAGCTATTGCTTGTGGGATAAGAGATAGAGAAGTTTGATGAAGATTATGAAGTGGGTGGTTTATGGCAATATCGTTTCTGAATAAGGAGGGACAGGCGTTGGGTGAGGGTCCGCTTCCGGGGCCAGAATTTCTGCAAAGAGAAACGAGAGAGAGAGTCAGCGATTTGGTTTTTGCAACCAGGTACATGTACAGCAATCATGATAAATAGTTTTTTAGCAGATATCCAGATAAGGCATTTTAAAATGGCATAAGTGATTGGGAGTGGGAGTGCCCTTTGTTAATGCAATGCACTGTAGCTTCGTTATTGCAGTGAAAGTGAATGCTAGATGTAGACCATTTGTCCCCCCACAGGATGGCTGCTGCGATGGTAGGGTAGAGTTCGAAGAGGGCTGAAGAACATTGGTCTTTTGGAATGGAATTTAATTGCGGTGGCCATGTTGAGGCAAACCACTGTCCTTTATTGTAGCCACTGTAACCAATTGAAGGGGCAGCGTCTGTGTATAAGTTAATGTTAGTAGGGAACGCTATCAAGTCGCTGTAGAAAAAGGAACAGCCGTTCCATTGCTTAAGGAAAGAGATCCATAAGCAGAGTTCATCGCGACTGGGTTTAGAGAGAAAAAATGTTTCTTCTAAACCATGAACTGTGGTGGATAGTTGAAGGAGGTGGGAAATGATAGGAATGATGCGCATAGCGAAATTTAGATGGCTGAGAATTGATAGGAGTTCTCGTTGTGTGCACATCTGTTTTTCATGGAAAATTTGGGATAGAGAAATTACTCGATTGATTTTCTCTTTAGGAAGGGATGCTTGGAATTTATGTAATTTATGTAAGTCTAGATTAATGCCCAGAAATTCGATTGAAGTACTGGGTCCTTCCAAGATCAGCAAAAACCTGCTGGGTGATCGCTAGGTGTTTGGCTGGAGGAGATGACGGGGGGAAATAAGAAAATCGTCTAGAAGGTGAATGAGGTATGGGATTCCGTAAATATTAGACAGAATCCAGCATAAAGCTTCATTGACATCATGTCAAATATTTTTGGGTTGCTTTTGCATGCGAAAAATAGAATTGATTGCGCCAATAAATGCCAAAAAGGTGCCAGAAGTCTGGGTGGATTGGGATGATTTTAAAGGTAGAGGAAATGTTTACTTTGGCTAGCCAGGCATTATGACCGGCTATCTTTATGAGAGAGAGAAAGATCGCTTGATCAAGGATGTGGTAGTTAAGCGAATATTCATCCAATGGGATAGTGCTGTTAATGCTAGGAAAAGAGCAATTGTGTTGGGACGAATGGTCGACTATAAGGCGTTTTTTGCCAGAAAATTTTTGAGTAGCAACATCAATGGGGCTAATGCGCGAGATATTAAATGGAGGAGCCTTGAATGGTCCAATCATGAAGTTGTTGTCGATTTCTTTTTTAATAAGATAATCAACGGTTTCAGGTTCGGAGGTCGCAGACTGCAGGTTAGGACAGATTAGATAAAGTGAAAAATGGAACGTATTCTTTGTGAAGAGGATGTGGAGTGTAATAGGTTGGATGAGGGTCAGCTTCTGGAGCCAGCAGTCATGATCTCTAAAATAGAAAAACAAAGAGAATCAGAAATTAAATCTTTGCAAAATAATACGAGTATGGCAGACATGAAAATTGTTTTAGTTGATATCCATGCGAGGCATCTTAATAAGGGCATGGGCGGCTGTAAATGGAAGCGCTTTTGTTAATGCATGGTCCGATAGCTTCATTGATACAATGTGCAAGGATGGTAGGGGTGGGTGTTCGTCTCCCAACGGGATGGCAGATGGATGGAGAGCTGAGGATATGGGGTGTGGCTTGTCTGGTGGTCCTGGAAAACTGGTACCTCTTGAAGACTGAGCATGTGAAGTGACAGTTAAGTTTGAATTTCTGTTTATAACAGTCAAGTGGGAAGTTTGTTTCTTTGCCGTTTTCACATCCGACTGACTAGCTATATAATCTTATATGACGCTTTGTATATCAACACATGAGTCACTGGCGTATTACAATTGGACTTCTGTGGTTGATGGCATAATGTTTTCCAATAGCTGGCTAATATATACTGGTTGGTAATAATCTTTTCAGAAGTTAAATGTCTATTGGATTTATTTTATTATTTTTTTAAATCTTAACTTAACTAAATTCACAAGCGTGTCTGGCCTATTCATTCATAAGGTCTTTGCAACAGAGTCAAGAGAGAGGGCGGGACCATCTCCAGTCTTTTAGCTCATTGGATGGTTACGTTACTCTTTACAGCTATTGGCTTAAAGAAGTTTCAGTCAGGCCATGCAAAAGGTGCAAAAAGCCTGGCGGCCATTTTGTTGATCAAATTCAACATTGTTTATGGCTGGAGCTGCTGCTCTGCTGAACACATTCCAGCAAACAATCTGTTAAACGATGGATCGCATGTGTACTGCTAGGAGAAGGTGAGGGTTCAGTTTTATTGCAATAGCTTTGGAGTTTTGGCTGATATCTTGCTGGAAAATAAGGTTGAAGACACAGCAGGTGCGTTGTGGAGGCTCTTTGAAGTGGAAGGTTTTGGTGTTGTTGTTTAAGCTGTTGATGAAATTGTTGGAGTTGGAGTTGTTTGAAATGGTAGTAATAGTTGTTGCTGTAACTTGTATACTGTAGCTTGTAGATTGAAGCTTTTAGATTGTATATTGTAGATTGAAGCTTTAAGCTTGTAGATTGAACCTTTTGTAGCTTGTAGCTTTTGTAGCGCGTGTAGCTTTTGTAGTTTTTGTAGTTGATGAGCGGAGTAGAGCGTTCTTCCAAACGAAGAGCCTGAAGATTGTAGCTGCTTTGGTTGTCCATGCTGGTTTAGAGTTGGTTCTTCAACGGAGCTAGCTATGGTGAAGCTGCTTCTTCCAAACGAAGATAAAGTGAACTGAAAACTGTGGCTATTTATAGTAGCTTAGGGCTCATATGATTGGAAGATAGAGATTAGCAAATGCGAGACCGGCCGTGATAAATCATAAGCACGTGATCCTCTCGAAATTAGTTTATGAATAAACTTAACTTATTTTCAGATGTACTAGAAAAGGATTACACACATTTAAGCTTCACCCATACTGTTAGTTTCGTCATTGGGCTGGACCCCTACAGCTGTCAAAGATCATGGGGTTATAGCAAAACAAGCACTGGTACACTGCTTTACTGTGAGATATTTAGTTGTTGTTTAATACGAGCTTGGAAGCCACATCTTTACTGTTTCCCATGTTTATGTTGATTGCTTCCCGTCTTTGACCTAACTTGACATTGTACTACTGTAAGCATGGCTATATCTCTCTATAATACCAAACCTTGAGAACTGTTATGGAATTTTATGAGACAAGACCACAAGAATTGCCATGCAACAAAACAACAAACTTTCTAGAAAGAGCAAGTTCTTCAACTGCCTCAGTTATCCATTATGTGCCCACCTCTCTGCCACCCCCTTCAATTCTTCACTCAGTGCCCAGGTCACTGACATTCCACATCTAATCTTTTTTCTCTTCATATGGTGTATTTTGTGAATCTGTAACTTTAACTTGTAATGCTTTGTATTCTTTTAAATGTCTCTGTGTGATTTGTAAATGGTCTCAGTCACTTGTATTATGATAATTATTGTATGAGTTTGGGAATCCACATGCAGGTTTATTTGGTAGTCAGGCAAGCAATGGTCAGCACAGGGGCAAACAGATGTATGACGGCAAATCCAGAATTATAGTCACTATAACAGGCAAGAGGTCGGAAGGCAGGCAGCAGACAGAGATAACACAGAACAAGGCTAAGGTAAAAACACAGAAGAACAAGACTAAGGAAACGAGTTTAATTTTCACTAAACACTAAACAAGACTCAGCAATGAGTGTATTTGCTGCTTAAATGTGTGTGTGTGTAATCAGTCTTTGACAATCCTCAAGTGGTGCGAGTGTAATCAGTCAGAATGAGGAAGCATGTATTATGTGAGCGGAGTGCATGTATAAAAATGTAGTCCATGAATGGCAGATTTGTAGTCCATAAGTTATTGTACATGCAAACCACCGATCTAGGGAGTTACAATTGCTGGTGATAGTGACATACATATATATATATATATATATATATATATATATATATATATATATATATATATATATATATATATATATATATATATGGGGTCTTTAAAACATACAGTGCAAAGTTGTGACTAACATAAATGTTACATACAGTAGATATTGAAATGACAGTTTGTCATTATACACTATAAATAAACACACTATATTATAATAGTATGACAAATTAAATGTTGATAATTTGAAACATACACCGGTCTTTCACTTTTAATAATTCCTGCAGATGAAGTTGAGTCGGTCAGTTTCAGGACGGCTGATCCAGGTCTGATCTCCTCCAGACTGAACTGCTCCAGATCTCACTGTGGGCTCACAGTCCTCCTCTGATGTGCCGTTCCCTGGAGCCCAGTTCTGATAGCACACGGTCTGTCCACTCACCCAGAACCAGATGCCCAAAGCACAGGAGTGACGTAAACCCAACCACACCGCCCCAGTAGACGCCAGTTTAACCACGTTCATCACCTTATACTGCATCTCCACTGACTGAACCGAGACCAGATCCACATGATTCTGTCTGCAGTATCTCAGAGCTTCAGACCACGACAGATTCTGCTGGATCACAATCAGTTTATCTGGACACAAAACAAAGCAGAAACTAGAGAGAGACTGATCAACAACAACATGCAGAACAAACACTGTGGAGGAATTTGTCATGTCAGACATGTAGAGTCAACTTTAAGACTTTCTCTGCCATTGACTAGATAACTTGTTAATTAAGAGACAACACTTCTTATGTTTTTATGGCAATCTGTGTTTTATTGATATTAAGGTAAGGGAAGCCCTAATGCAGTTCCTAAATCAGTTACAGGACTTCAGAGTCTCTTGGGAGTGAAAAATAAAGAGAATCAGAGGAAGTTAAAGTCGGATTGCGTGTAAAATGAAGAGTTATTAAGCTTCCTTTGGCTTATTTACAGCTTCATCAGAGCTAACCACAGTGAAATGATCCACCCCTGTGGATTTGCATGAGGTTAGAAATGTGAAAAAGTTTTCAAACACATGCGTGTGCTTACAAAACATGTTTATGCGCGTGTATTATATAATTCTCAGTTTTTGTCAGAAAATGTTGCATTTTTTACTAAACCTACCTGCATTCAATTGGGGGAAAACACGAGCCCATGAATATAGATGTTTTGGTGCTTTATTGTTATATATAATCTGATCATTTATTCCTATTAGAAAACTTCTTGAGGGCCATCAAATTTAGGTGAAAATCATCATAAATGCTGGCAACCTTTTATAAACACTGGCAGGGAAATTGTTAAAGGTGCAGTAGGTGATTGTCTTCAGAAACATTTGTTGTGCTGGTTGAAAGTCTCTTCCCTTTCCAATAGTAATGATTAAAGTAAAGGATCTAAATGTGTTTATATGTATTTTTATTTTCTGGATAAGAAAAAAAAAAAAAAATTTCATCCAATTAAATATTGTTGGGCCGACATCACCCATAATTATGTTAGGTAGGCCAAACTGTCTGTCAACAAATGTAGATTTGATTATCTGCAGCCGTTCACACAAATCCGCCATCAACGCAAGCATGCAAATTCACCTGCACACGAAAGAGAGCAAAACAAATGCTAAGTCAAAACTTTTTAATATCCTGAACCAGTATTGGAGTTACTTTAGCACGCTGAAAGAAGGACGACACCATGGCTGAAGTATTACTGTTAGACAGGTCATGTTCTGTTTTAAAACTATTTTAGTCACACAGAGCTGATGGGTTATATGCACAGAAGTGTTGTTCAGCCACTGAAATCTTCCGGCAAAAGATTGATGTGACTATTTTCAGTGTCATAAGGGCCTTTTACAGCATTTATAATGTACACTTTTATTTAGTTCAATAGCTCTATTCTGCCCAGCCTGCTTTACTGAGGTGAAGTTGGTTTTGTATTCATTGTTTCATTTTTGAACAGTGAAAGCCTGTGACATGCTTCCTGTATTATTTACTGTGCTACTCTGAATATTCGGTCAGAAATGGCATGTAAGTATAGCTTAGAAATAAGTGTAATTCCTGCATGCCGCTGGCCAAGCACTAAGTCGCAATAGGACAGTACGTGAGAGAGGGTTGTCTGCCCTTTTTAAGATGTGCGCGCTCGTTTTTCAAGAGCCTTGGCTTTGGCAGGGGAGGGACTGTTTTTCAAAGATATAATGCTAACTGGTTAGCATTGTGGCAGATCACCTACTGCACATTTAAGAAATCTGGAGCTGATGATGGATTGAGTGTGTGTGGAGGATCTGCTCACCTTCATGACACACAAAAGGAAACTGGCAGTCACAAGAGATGTCTGCCCAATGTCCATTAGTGTTCTCCTTCAGCACTGTACAGTTTTCATTATTTCCATAGTTATTTGGTTCATTAGTATTCCAGTAACTGAATGAATAGTTGCTCTGATCTGACCACTGCCAGTCTCTGAACAGACCGATCCAGACATCAGATCTAGATGGAATACTGTCATTAATGAACTTCTCCAGCTGTTGACTCTCATTCTGGTTCCTCACACTGACCAGATCAATGTGATTCTGTCTGCAGTAACTCTGAGCAGCTCTCCAGTTCATCGTCTGATTAACAAACACCAGTCCTCTGCTCACTTGAATAAAAATAATAATAATAATGATACCATGATTCAGCCCTTCTATGCTTAGGTTAAAATGTGAACAGGAACAGCAATGAAATCATCATGCATGTCTGTGTTACTAAAATAAATATTACACACACACACACACACACACACACACACACAACAGAACATCTGTCATAAATATGAATAAATATATTGCGCTATTAAAGATAACAAAATTCAAAAGGAGTAGCTGGTTTATATAATGAAAAATACAAAGTGGATTTGACTTGTAGTTGCATTTACACTTTATTTACACAAGTTTTACAGTCATATTTATATCTTAATAAACCCTTGTTAAATGACAGGTTTTTTTATAAGTGTTTGTACTCACTGTTGTAGCATATGACGAACCAGGTGTCACTACATTTCCCATCATGCCACTTTCCATGTCTCATAAAAGCACACTCATCTTTGCCATCTGGTTGTCCAGATTCCCAGTTCAAAAAGAGTTCAGGATCACCTGAAGACCACTGCCATTTCCTCTGCAGACCAATCCAGAGACGTACATCATTCACACTCTTGTTCAGCTGGATCGTGTCGTTCATGTTGTCAACAGTGGCCAGATCTGTGTATTTCTCTCTGCAGTATCTCTGAGCTTCAGTCCAGGTCTTGTTCTCATTTATAAAGTGATACTGACGCTGAACACATTCAGATATGGAGCAGAGAGCTGTGAAAGAGACACTTTGCTTTAATGCTTTTCAGAACAGAGTCAAACCTAATGAAACTATAAACCATAAATAAAACTACAAACACACTCACCAATGAGGAGAAGAGGGAAATATAGGGTCTGAGCCATTTCTGAGGAAGAAACACATTGAGATGAACAATAACTCTGATATTCATCTCTGAGTAACACATGACTGTGCATTAAAAAAGTATCAGAAACATTAAAAAATCTAAATCATCAGTGTAATTGTTTAAAGTGTGAATAATTTTGTGAATGAAGTGAAGTGTAAATAAACGTCTGTTATTCTTACTTCAGAGCTGGTGTGTTTCTGTCCTCAGTCTGATGTTTCTGTCTGCAGATTCATACCGTGTGATTATTCTATATCTGCTCTAATCCATTATTCAGCTCTTCACATCATTTGCTTATTACTCAAACAAAGGCCTTGTTCAGTTTTTTTTCCATATTCAGGTGTATTTGCATATTGTTTCTGTATTTCCTTGGAAGTATACTGATTTGAATGAAATAGGAAGTGCAGTGTCTGTTTTTTATTATAATATTAGATAACCTTTTATAATGCAAACTATTTTAAGTAACAAACAAGTCAACCTACTCGTATGACAATTTAAATGTTTGAAATAACATCATCAACAGGTGAGTTGGTGTGAAATTAATCTTTTTTTTAATGAAAATGTACATCACTTCACTGCAAAGATTTTGAGGCAATTCTAATTAATCAGTTATAAAGTAGTGCCAAAATCAGAATCTGCAGACATTTTCTGCTATTTCTGCGCAGAATATTGTTGTAAATCTGTGGATTTTGGCAAATGATTTTGGGAGTATCAAAACTAAAACCTTAATATTTTAAATAAAAAGTAACACCTTTTAAATTTTATTTAATCTTTACAATGCAAATCCAATTAGATCCATTTTATTTGGTAAACGAAGCAAATCTCTTATAAAATATCTGCTACTAGAAGACAGAAAATATTACTGTACAAACTGCATTTTAAATGATCTTTTTTTTTTTGATCATTTTCAGACCTAATCTAAATTATCACTTTATATATATCATTAGCATATCATTGATTCTGTTTATTTACTTGTGTAAATCTATGTTTATTTAGTTTTTGAATTAATTTCAGTAATATTATTGACTAATATGAAAATATTCATGATTTAGGATCTCGATTCAACCATACACACGATTTTAATTCAGCTTTTCTACGATTCAGCCAATTATATTTCAAGGTCTGGAGAGAAGGGTAAAGGCAGACACACAAGTCTCCACAGCAACATGGACACCTTCAAATGGTGTTAAAATTGTCACATACTGTATTCATAAGGTATAATTCACCCAGAAATGTAATTTCTGTCTTCATGTAATGATGTATTCGCGGCCGTGAAATCACACGTGAGCTGTTTGTTTACTTTCAAGAACGCGCACGTGCATGCATAACGCCTTTTTTTTTAGTGAATAGAACCAGCAAATGCTATAAATAACAGGTAATGAAGTTGTAAATAACATTCAGTTTGTTGCACAGAGCAATCGTTTGAGAGCCGTGCAGGCAGTTTGATTTGCATGTGTGTGTGTTTTCTCACAGTGATGGTAGACATGAGCCGCACTCAGAAGTGAAAGTGAACCGGTGTGCACATCATTTAAATGATCATATCACATTGGACAGTTGTGATTGAGACAAGCATTTGATATTTTTTTTTTTTTTTTTTCTTTCATAGCCAACACAAAGTGTTGTGCATGAAAATAAATGTTTACTGTGTCAGTATAACAACCCTAGCCTATATATAATGTTAAATATGATGCAAGAAGAAATCTGATAACGACAAAATTATTATTTTACCAGTGAAAACAAATGATTAATAATGTTGTCAATAACAGATGACAAGCACATCTTAAACATAATAAATCAACTTCAGAATTATGAATATTTATATTGTGATGTCGTCTTTTTACTGTAAATTAACAAACAGGATATGTTGAAAGTCTGTTCAAGTCCACCATAATTACTGTACAAAATGTTGCATTTTAAGCAACAGTAGAGCTACACACAGGCCTAATATTATTAGTGTTGTTTTACCATATGTTTGAGAATTAACAATAATGATAATAGGTTAATCATTTTAACCTTTATTTTACATCTACTAAATCGTGAGAAAATCCTGATCTTGATTTTAAGCAAACAAAATTGTCATTCTCATTTTTGCCAGAATCGTGCCGCCCTAATTTAGATGGTTATTGTCATGTTCACCAGCGAACAACCACCAGATGTCGCTGGTAAACATTCACACACAAACATTCACACTCATTGAACTACATATCTGCCATGTTATTGACTACAACACCCAGTCAGGCCACACACACACAACCGGTTCCAGATCCACACTGATTGCACTCTCACAGCTGAAGCCACTCACACAATGATTATTTGGACTAGTTATACCCCTTTGTTCCACACACGTTGCCGAGTCTTGTTTATCTGTAAGGTGACAATACAACGCGTTATCCTGGTCTTGGTTTCCTGTGTTTTGATCTCAGCCTTAACGCTTATTGCACAACATAGTGGACCATCTGATTTCTTGCAATCACTGACTTAAAACAAGATATTACTTAGTGTATTCTTTATGCACGAGCAAGCATTTGGATGGTCTACTTGAAGAATATTAATTTACAGTTACATCCTCTGACTAAGACCCAGAGGTTGTGTCCCTGAGCATATGTAGATGGCCAGCATAATACTCTAATGGTGCTTTCACACTGGCACTTTTGGTCTGCACCTGGGTTCATTTGATGTCAGAGTTTGGTACGTTTAGCTAGTGTCTTCTGAACTCGGGTGAGCACCCAAGAACCATACACGGGTCCGCCTGAAAGAGCTGGTCTGGGTTAGGGTTCACATGAATTCCGATTCACTTCTGATGAGAATGCAATCGTACCAGGTAACGGATGTGAACCGCCAACTGTACAACAAACTATCGTTTTCATAATGCTTATTCATGTGTGTGTGTGTGTGTGTCTGTGTGTGTATCATGTATTGTACCTTGGTGACAAGCGGGACTGAGCTAGGGCAAACACAGTGATAATGTCTGCTTGTCTTCTCCAAGAACAGCTTCTGCAGATGTTCTGTGATGTTCTGAACGTTTATAATATATTTTTTGCTGCAGACTGATGCGAGTCGCTTTCTGTATTTCCAAAATCAAAACATTCAGGTAAAAGCAGTAAAAAGCAGTAAAAGCAGAACGATCGCGATATGTGTCCGTCTTTCCATTTTTGAAAAGGCTTTGCCTTCATGTCCATCAACTAGCAATAGCTGTACACACAACGGCAGCTCAATGATGCAAGTGTAGCAGGTTTCAGAAGGAAAAAAGACAACGTGAACACAAACCAACCGAGAAAGTGGCAAGGGGGGGGCAATGGAACTTAGGTACGGTCCAGGCAAGTGAACCAAGTGTGAAAGTCACACTAAGTCACTCCAGCTAAACGATGAACAATTAAAGTAAAGGATGAAATGCTGAAAATGCTATATTCATTAGAGATGAATGTAATCCATTACTAATTAGAAAAAAGATCAAAATTTATCAACTAAAATTAATCACATTCGGAAATGGAAACAAATTAAATTCATTCATTCAATTCCTTCAGCTTAGTCCCTTTATTCATCAGGGGTCGCCACAATGGAATGAACCTTCAACTTATTCAGCATATGTATTCCAGCTACACCTCAGTACTGGGAAACATCCATACACACTGATTTACACACATACTGTACACTACGGCCAATTTAGCTCATCCAATTCACCTATAGCGCATGTGTTTGGACTGTGGGGGAAACCAGAGCACCCGGAGGAAACCCATGCCAACACGGAGAGAACATGCAGACTCCACAAAGAAATGCCAACTGGCCAGGCCGAGACTCCAACCTGTGGCCTTCTTGCTGTGAGGCCACCGTATCGCCCTTAAAGTAAATACTAATAAATAAAATATTTATTTTCAGATGCTCTAGAAAAGGCTTACACACATTATAGCTTCACCCATAATGTTAGTTGTGTCATTGGGGTTTTAGATAGGTCCTTACAGGTGTCAAAGATCATGTGGTTATAGCAAAATAAAACCAGATCTGGTACGCTGCTTTACTGTGATATATACATACAGTACATACATACATACATACATACATACTGTAGCGAGGCAGAGGGAAAACACAAACACAGTTAGATGGTGTAACAAACAATGCCCCGGAGGGTGCTTTATTTATAAGTGTAAAAGGGGTGAATGAGTGCTCTTCTTAAGGGTGCATGCTCAAGTGCTCCGGGGAGATGGTGAAAACTGGTGAGAGTTCTGGTGTTGGATCAGTCACGAACTGGATTCGGCTGTGGGAGAGACAGAGAGAGACAAGCGTTAGCGCAGGGAGTCATGTGGAAATGAAGCTCAGTTTCCTCCTGTGCGGGGCTGGCTTATATCTCTCCCTGGCTGATGAGGTCCAGCTGTGAGCGATCCGGTGTTGATGAGTGTTCCAGCTGGGGTGGATTTGTGACCAGGGCGCCGTGGTATCAGCAGACTCGCTACAATACATACATACATATATATATATATATATATATATATACACACAAAAGTATATACAAATACATGTAAAAAAAAAAAAAAAAGTGAACACGCCCTTAATACTTTTGTGCCCTGCGCTTGGATCATCAAAATAGAGCCTATGACCCTTTAATGTTCTTTTCCTTTACTAAATGTACTAAACTCCACTATCTACCCAAAACTTTTGCATTCACTCTTTCTATACTCCCAACATTTCTAGGACCTTTGATGTAGTGTGAGACTCCTCCTGACCCATTAGATTTACCCAATAAACTGCCGTTAACTGTTTCCTTCTTAAACTAAGAGGCATTTCTCCCACTTCAACTTGAAGAGCTGAAACAGGTGATGATCGAAATGCCCAACAACAAATTTTTAATGTTTGAGCTTGGCTTCTTTCTAACTTCTCTAGATGAGTCTTTGCTGCTGAACTGTACACTACACAGCCGTAATCCAACACTGGTCTAGTCAGTGTAATATCTATATAGTTTTTAAAGCCATCCTGTCTGCCAGAACTTTTGCCTTTATCTTCCATCCTTTTAAAATGTTCGTTCCATGTACGTCTATTATCTAGCCACATCCCTAAAAGTATAATTTCTGATACCTGTTCTTGCTGTTGATTATAAAACTTTAACTTCAGATTTGTTTCTTTACTTTTTTTTGTAAACAGGACCACTTGTGTAGGGGCAGGTGCATCTCATCACATAATGTTTGACAGGTCACTGAGCCAGTGACAGCAAAAAGAGTGCAATAACACC